GTACAGTTGAATTGGTGCACGCGGAGATGATAGTGCCACCAGAAGCTGGTCCGCACTGTCGTACGCCCAGCTGGGCAACGTTTGCGCTGCCAGATGCAGAGCAGTCGTGGAGCGATTGTGGTCGTAAAGTCGAATGGTCGTAGTGTCATAGGTCTAAGTCGATCAATACCTGTATTTACTTCTCATGCTGTTAGGAGCACTTCTCAGGTGCTGTTAGGTTTCAGGTGGCCAGGTGCATCACCTGCACACAGTGCTCATTTCACCTCGTTCCTCTTGCTGGTGCATCAGCCTTGACTGGTCCCTGTCCCAGAAGCATAGTCAGGGAATAGAGGGTAGTGAGCCCCCGGGAGCCACACCTGTGCCTTGACCAGGGGTACAATGTGGAGTAAGAAACTTTAATCTTTCTGTGCCTCTGGTTCTCCATCTGTCAGTGAGAACACAAGCATCTCTCTACCTTTTGGGATTCGGGGGAGGACACAGGAGTGAATAGGTGTGAAACAATTAGTTGATCAGTGGCCTGGCCTGTGGTCAGTTTCAGTAATACTAACAAATAGTTAACCTTTCCTGTTAAGACAATACCAGCTGTATGTTTTCTTTCCATTTTTTCCCGTATTTTTGGAGAGTTGATTCTTCATGTGGCTGCAGCTTACTCTCTCTTGGTATTTTCACGGGGCTTCTGCCTTGGGTGTAAAATCATAGACAGGTGTGTTGCTAAGAAAAAGCCCTTTGTAACCAGTATTAATACCACACTCCATATGACGTGTCTTCCTGTCATCTTCCATTGTACTTTGACCAGGTGGGCTGGATGACACTTTGCACACAATTATTGATTACGCCTGTGAACAGAACATTCCCTTTGTGTTTGCTCTCAACCGCAAAGCTCTGGGGCGCAGTTTGAACAAGGCAGTTCCTGTCAGCGTGGTGGGGATCTTCAGCTACGATGGGGCCCAGGTGAGCGCACAGGGCACAGGCCTCTTCGGTCACTGCCCATGGGAGGAAGTGGGGCAAGTGGCTCACCCACAGAGCAGCCCCAGAACTTCCAGTAGGCTGGTATTGAGGAGAAGCCACCGTTGAGACAGAACCTTCTTATAAAAAGGTAGCATTTGTCTCTTTGACAGCGTGAGGTATCTGGTTCTGAATTGAGCTTTGATCTGGGCTTGCTGCTGACGTAGTGGCACCTCAGACAGGCCCAAGAAATCGGCCTAGCTCACTCTTCCCTCTGGGGCAGCATCCCTGGTACTCATCCACAAGCATGGGGTCCACATTGCCCTGTGTCACCCCTGCTTCTCTCTGGAGGGTGCCTTGCTGAGTTTGAGGGGACCTGTATCCTCTGTAGCTGGGATGTTACCTGTGTGCTCTCACTTGTGCCCAAGGATCAATTCCACAAGATGGTTGAGCTGACAATGGCAGCCCGACAGGCATACAAGACCATGCTGGAGAATGTGCAGCAGGAGCTGGCGGGAGAGCCCAGGCCTCAGGCACCTCCCAGCCCGCCCACACAGGACCCCAGCTGCCCTACAGAAGACGGCCCCCCAGCCCTGACAGAAAAAGAAGAGCCACACTACAGTGAGTGCCTAAGGGAGAGTCATGTCAGGTTGAGGGTCCTTCAGGTTACTTACTGACTTTAATTAGAGTCCCCAGGAGAGCAGTTTGACCATTGATGCTGCAAGACCAGCTGAGTAGCAGGGCCCATAAAGTCCAGCTGAGACTGGCTGTAATAACGCATGGTAATTCCAGCCCATTTCCTAAGAGGTATTACCAGACTTTTGAAGTTGGAAGGACTTGTCACTGACTGTCTCAGACTTCAAGTCAGATGTCTCCTGACAGTGGGTGGCCTTAAGGATGGCTGTACCCAAGAGAAGCTTGGAAGGTCAAGTAGAGGTTCAGTCCTCTCCTGGCCTGCCGACACAAGGCCCTAGCTACCTGGATTGCCCGCCCCCTCCAGCCAGCTTCTGCTCAGTAAGGGGCAGCCCCGGCCCAGCAGGCTGAGAACAGTGGCGAACGCCTGCCAGGGCACCTCTGAGCACCGTGAGCTGCTGGGCAGTGGCCACAAGCTCCCTCGCCCATGCTGCTGGTTTTCTGACAGGAATTTTCCAACTTGTTGATGCCTATTCCTCACTCGTGCCGTTTCCTCATTTTAGTTGAAATCTGGAAAAAACATCTGGAAGCATACAGTCGATGTGCCCTGGAGCTAGAAGAATCCCTGGAGGCTTCAACCTCTCAAATGATGAATATGAATTTATGAGAGTTCCTGCCTTGTCTGTATTTCGAGTAAGGAGGGGAGGTCTGAAAAATACTTTGAGGCTTTTTCTTCTCAGTTTTTCATGACAACGTAATTTGTATAACTGTTAAATCTGGAAATTGATCAGCATTAAAGGACACATAAAGCCGTGTCTTCAGGCCTTGAATGCTGCAGAGGCTGTCAAAGAAGGTCGCTCAGATGCGCAGGTGGTCATCTTCTCTAACAGCCTGGTAATACAGCTCTGGCTTTCTGAGCACACTGTGGATCTGGCAAATACTGGAAAATGTGATATTTAGAATACTTTGGCTGCTAAAGAAACTTCATCTCCATTGCGGAATAACTGAGCCAAGTGAGTGAGTTTGTAGAAAGCAGGTGCCGAGCTCCTGCCTGCTGGAGGTGGCTGTGGACGGCCGTTCCCACCCGGCCACAGCACCATCCTGCAGGGAGCTACTGGGCAGAGGGATGCCGGGCTGCTGGCATCAGAGCAAGAGGGCTGTGGGAAAGGGCCCTTTCTCAGGGGATGTAGCTTTTTTTTAAATGATTTGGGGACACTTGGGGGGATTTGCTAAAATGAGCCTCAGAAGGAAAATTGGTTTTCTAACCTGTGACTTTTTGACGTGAATTATTCGTCTTTATTTTTCAAGAAAACAATGTGTATTAAAGTACCTAGATTTGTTTGATAATCAACAAATCTTTCCTTTAAATGAACATATTCTGAATGTGGTTTGTGTCTTAGAGGCCAGGAGGACAGAGTTTACTTTCATATTTTCCCTGTAAGTAAGAGGGCTTATTTATTTTAAATAAAGAGTAATTATTACATTTTGTTTCAGACTCTGGTGATTGTAGGCTATCCGTGGTCTCTGTCTTACTTGATCATTCCTATGTCTTAATTTATCCCTTTTGGACAGTCTGGGCCCTGGAGTAAAGGGGGCCACCTAGGGCAGAGGGGGTTCTGCTATCCCTAGCACTCAAGTCTGGAAGTGGTGACTTTCAAAACCTCCAACCCTGCACAGACCCGCTAGAACCAGATCCTGGCTCAGTCCCGACCTGCATCTGCATTCTTTTTACCACAGCCAATGGCGGGAAAGAATTTTCATTGCTTTTTGCTTGTCATGTAAGCAGGTTATTGTTTTGGCTTTGAAAGTGCTCTTAACTGAATTCAGTCATGCCAATATTGTACCTCTGAGAAGTGGCCTGTGATGAGCAAATGAAATTGGAATAATGGGTCAGAAATGGCATGCTATGGGCAGGGGCTGGAAATGTGACCAGAGGTTGGTGTATGAAGCACCGTCTGCCCTGTCATCTGTGGAGCTCACAGTGACCAGCGTGAGCCCTGCTGTTCTTTACACATTCTGAGCTGGTGAGACGTGGGAAGTCAGTGTGGTCAGCCAGGCCATCAGCAGTCCTAAGCTGCAAGTCATCACCACTCATTTCTCTTTCAGGGCAGTCAGTGGGGCCAGCAGGAAAGGAGAGGTCTTTCCTGCCTCCTCATCAGTAGGTAGCAAATCAGTCATGGTAAGTTTGAAACTAGGAGATTATTTGAGAGTAAAAGTTCCAAAATTAATTTGTGGGGAAAAAAATAAAATAGCCTGTCAGCTGCACTCAGCAGCTAGTGTTTTAAAGTTTGATAAATCAAAAAATTAAAGGTCTCTGCTAGATGAATTCCTTTGCTCAAAGCCCCTTTTTGGAGGTTTCTAGGTCTGTGACATTTGTTTTGTTAATCTAAAGATAAAAGCAGCTTAAACAGAGTAGGTAGGTAGGCCTTTAAACATTTCATGCAGCTGCCGAGAGCTTTATTTCTCCTGGGACTTAACCAAACTCATCACGTGGTTGCCTGGTGATGCTATCATTTTCTTGTCAGTGAAGAACTCCAGCTGAGGCCACTGCTACAGGTGATTTCAGCTCCCTCAGCCTGCAGATGGTGCCACATGAACACACAGCTCTGGACCAGGGGAGCCAAGTACAGTCACTTAACTGAACAATGTACAACTCTATGTTTATTTTTTCCAGCAGAGCAAAGACTCAAATATTCATTCTCATAACTACATTTCCCACTCCACGTTGAGAAAGCTTCAAGTATGTAATGTGCTCACAATCCAGACTTCAGGAGAAGATACAGAAAACAGCACCAAGAATATAAGCCCAAAGCCTACAGCATTTCATTCAGCAATTTATAGTGGCTAGAGCCAGACCCAAAGCAAGAACCACAGTAAGCTGATGGGTATTTTATAGGAAAACTTCAGGTTGTGAGTTGAACCATGTGATGGTTCTGTGAACAAGACTAGCATTCGTAGCCGGATGGGCAAGCACACGCCTCGGAGGCGGCTGGGCCTCTTGACTCGGGATGTGGAGGGAGAACGTGGGGACAGGCAGGGCGTCTCCACCGTCTTCAGGACACCTCTGTTGTGATGAATCCTGAAGGAAATGGCAGGTGATGTATGCTGGTCCCACACAAAGGCTGTTACAGACCTTGTCCGGCTACAGAAAGAAGGGGTGCAAAACGGGCCATTGTCATAGTGCTAGGAAGACACTGAGTATTTGTTAGGATCACCAGAGGGGTGGGGCTTGACTTGTAACAGGCTTTGGTTTTGTGATAGACATGGAAACTGTCATTCCACAGACAAGAATATACGTGTATATAAGATTAAAGGCTGAGCAGCTTTAGGACAGGTTCACACACACAGTGACAAGAGTCTTCAGAGACACAGCTTTAATAATTAGAGACTTGAAAAGCAGGTAGAACAAAACAGCAGACTCATTCCATCGTCAGGAAATTTAATGTGGCACCAGATTTGCATAATTGACCTGTTTGGTTTTCTGCGTCAAGCTCAGTGTCTTGTTGCAGAAGCTGAGTATTGATGGGGGATACACTCAGAGGCTTAAACTGCAGCGCTTGATAAAATAGAGCCCGGTATTTTGAGGTTAGTGAAGAAAACAAAGACTTGACAGATGCACTCCCAGATCGCATCTCACAGTCACTCAAGGTTTAAAGCAAGGCATTTTCATGTGGAGTCTCACCTTCTCTTGTCCCGGTCATGCATCTTAAGAGTTCCTTGGCTAAGTCTGCAGGTGGGAGAAGCGGCAGGCTTGATCTGCATCAATAAAAGCAGCGATCTGTGCTGGCCATGCTCACGCTGTTGACTGTTAGGGGTGGGGGTGCTCTGTAAAGGGGTCACTAGGGCAGTGTAAGATCGGCCCTCAGAGCCTGCTGCCTGTCCCTAGAGGAGCCTGCACACACACACTTGTTTTAGTTCAAGAGAGTGGCTGTCGAAGCCTGTCGGCCATCCTAGCCACCTGCCTATGCCAGACAGAACGTCCTGTCCCAGGTGAGCAACTTATTTTTTAAGTCTTGGTTCCTGTCACAGGCTCACTCGGGTCCAGTGCGTCTCCACTGTCCCGCCTTTGGGAGGTCCCCGTCAGGCGGTGGCCCAACGGCTGTGCTCAGAGCAGGCTTAGGTAAGACGGCTCACTGCTGTGGGGGCCCAGGCCTTCTCCAGGGGTGGCTGTAGTCAGTGGCGGCAGGGTCTGCTTCCCGGTGTTTACAAGGTGTCCTTGCTACAGCTTTCCTGAAAGAAAAATGTGGTCTTTGAATCCTTGTCGGAACAGATGGGCCTTTCCTGCACTGCAGCCCAGTCTGTTTCGTAGCCCATCCCAGGCAGAGCACTCGAGCTCTCAGCGCCCTGTCATGTCCCTCCTTAGCGCCTAAAGATCCAAATAGCAGGAGTAGTTCTCTCATCTGTGACAGGAAGGGAGGGCCGCAACGCATTCACTCAACTCCCAGGTTGTCCTGAGAGGGAGAAGGGCCGGAGAGAGGGAGCTCGTGTGTGCCCAGGTACAGAGGATCAGCTGCAAATGCTCAGCGTTTGGTGGCAACAGTTGAGGGGGTCTGCTGGCAGCCACGTAACCCACATACTTTAACACACTCATCTAGGCAGCTGCAGACCCCACGGTCGGATGCTAGCACACGCAGCGACGAATCCCTGCCTTTGTCTTCTGTATTGGCTACTTGGGAGCCAGGGCTGGACAACTTTGTCTCCGTAGGGGAAGCCCTGTCTAGGGAGCCTCTGCCCCGCTGCCTGCAACTTCCATGCTGTAGCCCAGGGCTTAGATTAAACCTGCCAGGGCTTAGCTCAGGAAGCCACTTCCCAACCTTCCAGCAGGTGCCGCAGGTGAGGCACCCAGCCAGGAGCCACCTGGAGAGTTCACCTGTCCAGGTTTCCTGCTCTCCTCAAAGTAGTGACTGGTTGAGTGTTCTGTCCAGGGCGTGCGGTGGCTGTGGAGGTCCAAATAACCAGACACCCCCGCCCGTGAGTCCCTCCCAGGCTCGCCTCCAGTCTCCTTTAAGGGCTGGGGCCAGATGCCCCTTGATCTCCTGAAGCATCAGCAACAAGACATGGGAGTTCCCCATGCAGAGTTGCAGGTTTCATACAGCAAAGTGCTCCGGGGCTAAGAGGGAGCAAGTGGGGTCCATGCAAATGGGGCCCTTGAAAGATGGAGGTGGCAGGGGCCCTGGCCCTGCTGCAGCCACGTACCCACGCCTTCCTCCAGCTCTGCATCATCCGGTCGTGCTCCCCAGCCACAGCCCTCCAGGCGGAGAGCTCTCTGGTCCACTTCTCCTGGTGGGTCGCTTCTGGAAGACAAGCAGGGTCCCCAGATCACCGCTCTGCAGGCATTTACAGCACCCTTAATGGCCCGCTGGCCATCTTTCTCAGTGGAAAGCCAATAAATCCCAAACCCAAAATGCCACCGTGCAAGCATGCTTTTACAGCATGTTTTTTTCACTACCATTGTAAAAAGTGAAAAATCACCTAAAAGCGTTGCAGTGGGCCTGGGAATCACTCACCAGGTCTCATCACAGCAACCTGCACCTTCGAAGTCTTGTTCCCTGCTGAGGAGAGGACAGAGCAGCGATATTCGGCGCTTTCCCGGATGGCGTCCTGCAGCCAGCTGAGCGCATGGGCCCTGCCGTCGGGCAGTGCATGGGTCTGCACAGGGACACAGGTCTCCAGAGCTCGCCCATTCTTCTCCCAGACAAAGCGGATGTCTGCAGGACCTGGCGGGGCACAGACCGTTTCCACCTCTGAGTCCACATTTAGGACTCAAAGAAGCTACCCCAGGAGGAGATAAGCGGTTACCTCTTTTGTCCCAACTGGACCTGAAGTGACTTGGGACAACTCCCACTTCAGTCCCTGGGATTCCCCTGCAGGCAGCTTCCCCATGGCCAGTGGGAGCCTTGGCCTTGGCCCCCATCCTGTGGACTTCCTGCTCTTTGACCTTAAATGCCGTCTTTCAAAGCACGCCTGTGTGGCCTGTGGTCCCCATGACCCCTTTTCCCGCAGCGCTCTGCCGGTTTCCTGCAGAATGGTTCTGGGTCTGGGAACAGCACCCCACCTCACCCTGGCCCTGCTGCCACTCTCATGGCCTGTGACCACATGAACAGAGACATCCCAAAGGCCCTGCCATCCCCAGGCCACAGCACAGAGGCCCCGAGGTTGGCCAGCTGTTTGTGGAGGGGGATGGGCCAGAGTGGGGACCATGAGGGTCTGTCTCTCCAAGTGAGATACTGGGAGCTGGGGCGGGCTTGGAAGGGGGCAGACACCACAGGGGGCCGGACAGCTCAGACCCCGGCAAGGGCTGGGCCCTGCAGTGACGCTGGGAACGCCACGTGCAGCATATCCAGGATGGGCTTCCAGCCTTCAGCATGGACCCTGGGCCCAACATTGGCCACTTCTCCCCAAACCTCTGTTGTGACTGTCTGGGCTTTTGATCTTAATTACTTACTGGAAAAAGTAGAGGGGCCAATTACCTCACATACTCTCAGTCTGTCTCACCCTGTCAGGGTGCAGCCTGGCTGGCCTTGGCTTGTCTGGGAGAGATCAGGAGGGTGGGCGAGGCAGGGATGTTCCCCTGTGGCCCAGGCTGCCTCATCTGGGGAGGCTGGCCTCATCCCAGGTCTGAAAGGCTGCACAGCCGACCTGAGGGCTAACCCCAGACCCCATATACCCCCAGACCCCATCTTTGTTCCAGGTGGGTGGGGTGGGCCGTGAAAACCAGAGTGTTGAGGGGGCCCACAAGCAAGGTCTGGTCAGCAGGTCACCTCCCGGCCTTCCTTCCCCATGAAGTTTGTTAGCCCTCCAGGGGCTGCTGGCCATGTTGGGACAGGCTCAACTCCCTGTCCCTTATTGAAGGAAAAACAAGCACATCCCACTTTGATTTGCTTCGCACACTGGCTTCCACTCAAATGCAGAAAGGAGTGAGGGGGGCTGCATTCCCTAAGCTCCAGGCTCTGGAGGGCAGAGTGCCCTTCTGTCCCTGAAGCTCCCGCTTGTGGTGGGCTAGGGGGGCCGGCCAGCCTGCACTGCTGCTCCTGGCTCCCACAGTTGCAGCCTTCATCAGGCCAGGCACCCCAGCAGCATGGACTGGGTTGATAGCCTCCTACCTCCCGCCCAGCGACCTGGCTCCCCGACCAGCTCCTGCCCTTCCTTGAGACCCACCAAGGCCCCCAAGCAGGCCATGAGCCACCTAGACCAGCGCTGGCCATGGCCTCCTCTTGACCATGACACCTCATAAGAGTTAGTCTTTAGAAGTTAAATTTGCCCTAGATGCCAATCAACCTGGGGATGACGAAATGTGGCTTCATGGAGACCGTTCAGCAGTGAAGAGGAAGGAGTTCAGAACACTAAGCAGGAAAAACAAATTCCAGAGCCAAAAAAGTCAGAAGTACCTGCACGCGCGCGCGCACACACACACCACACACACACACACACACAAACTGGCCTTGTTCTCAAGTGTCGGGGGAGGAGTGCGTCCAGATACAGGAGCTAAGTAATGTGGGAAGACCCATGCTCCCCTCCCTGGGGAGGGCAGTGGTGGCCAGGGAGCCTTTCATTTCTCTAGCACGTGTTAGATTTTTGAAAAGAAGAGATCGCCAGTTAAGGTGACTTTAGTAATGGATTTTCCCTGCTTTACTGACTGTAGCATCTACTCACCTTTGTCCAGTCTCTTGGTCAACAATTCCCCACTGTCCATGATCATCAGAGAGTGTTCCTCCCAAGGGCTTGACCAAGCTCAGACCTTTTAGCTCAACAGTCCTAGGAATGAGTCCCAAGGTAATGACCGGCCCAGTGAAGCCGTGTTTCTATCAGTGAGGAGTTGGGAAATGTCCAAGAAGTGGGTCACAAGTCAATCATTCCAAGTCTCATCGAAGAACATTTAGCAGTACAGAAAAATACTGTTAAGTGAAAGAATATCTAGGAGTATGTGTGCATATATGTATACACACGTGTATACATGTGTGCATGGAGATACAGTCATGTATATGCACACAGAAATGGCCTACAAATGGCCGGGATGCTGGTGGTAACTACCTCTGGATGGTCAAATTTGGGACTAGTTTAAATTGTTTTCTTTATACTTTCCTAGAGTTTACAAATTTACAACAAACAAGCATTGCTTTTATAATAGTAACAATAAAAAAAGTGTTATTTTGAAGGAAACATTCCATGAACTCAAGGAAATTCAGAAGGTGCTCCAAAACTGTTTTGCATGGTGGCCCATCTGGCCATGGCCTGGTGGACAAGCCCTTGTGGACAGGTGTGGTTTTTGTGCAGGAAAAAAAAAAAAAAAAAAAAAAAACCACTTAACACTCTATAATTTGTTTTTTCCCACTCAAAATGTTTTGGACTCTAGCCACAGTTAACTCCACATATCTATCAACAAACACAAGTCCATATTACATACATGTACAAACATGTCTACATCTAGGTGCCCACCAACTAGGAAATAGATACTCCCTTCCCCAGCCAATGGGCATCCAGGTAAAACCTCACTTTAAGAAACAGATTTTTTTGAGGTATTATAATCAAGTAACACATTTCTTTTTCTGTTTTGTTTTGGTTTTGTTTTGTTTTGTTTTGTTTTGAGGCGGAGTTTCGCTCTTGTTACCCAGGCTGGAGTGCAATGGCGCGATCTCAGCTCACCGCAACCTCCGCCTCCTGGGTTCAGGCAATTCTCCTGCCTCAGCCTCCTGAGTAGCTGGGATTACAGGCACGCGCCACCATGCCCAGCTAATGTTTTGTATTTTTAGTAGAGACGGGGTTTCACCATGTTGACCAGGATGGTCTCGATCTCTTGACCTCGTGATCCACCCGCCTTGGCCTCCCAAAGTGCTGGGATTACAGGCGTGAGCCACCGCGCCCGGCCTCAAGTAACACATTTCTTTGAACAGACAGTGAAGTGAGTTCTATAAAAGCCTGGTCTCCTCCCTCATATGCTGGCACCACCCAGTGGTGACCTGCACCAAGAACCACCCAGGGGACTGGAGCCACTGAGTCCCAGGAGCCTCTGGAAAGTCCTCATGACCAAGCCTTTGAGATTAAGAATGTGGGTAGCCTGAGCTGCACGGGATTCGTCACCCAAAGCCCCATCATCAGACCACTGACTGCAAAACCTTCCGATGATCTACACTCTCGGGGTGGGAGTAGAAACAGGCACCTGTGCCCACCACCGCTGGCATGAGGCATCAGTAAATACTATTTAAATCTGTGTATGATCATCATAAGACATTAAAGATGTTTTTAAAAAGTACTTACGTTCCGTGTATTCCTTTTTAAACTATCCATCTCTTTCTGAATGCATGAGAGAGAGGGAAAGTGAGAGTTAACATCAGCATGCAAGGCCACCCCATCAGCACTGCACCCTCAGCGGGACAGGGCAGCGGCAACCCAAGTCTGTCCCCCGGAGGCCTGCTCCAGAGCTCCTGTAATGCCGGGCCGCCAGTGGGGAGCTGTCTTCCACCTCCCAGCAGGGCCCCCTGGAAACACTGCTGGTTTCTTGCTCGGGCCAGTGCTCCAGGCCCCCTAATCATCCAACCCTGTTACCTCAAGAGAGAGGCCAGGCTGGGGTCCTACTCCCAGATCACCCCCTTGGCCTCTGTTGGTGGGGACAAGACGGCTAGTCTGATGCTGTGGGGCTCAGCAGCCACCAACCTGCATGTGCCTTGGCTCTTCCCAGTGGCTAGTCAGGGGACACTGGTTGTGCCCTCAAAGAAGCGAAGTTGTCCTGGCTTGAAGATCTCAGGTAGACGTCCTGAGATGGATGTTGCCTCCTGCCCCTGCCTGTCGCTGTGACCAGTACTTCCGGAGAATTAGCTTAAGCTGGAGGCAAATAAGCTTTAACTGCTGTGGCACATGCTATAGGGAACGATCTTTCTCTCATAGCCGAGACTTATGAGAAGACTGGTCACCTTGGTATAAGCAAGGGCCAGGTTTAACCACCAAGGCTGGGTTTATTACGTCTACTCAGGAGTCCAGGGAGGCTGCCAGCAGCCTGGGCTCCAGCACTCACCTCAGCCTGTGCTGGGGCACCTCCTGCCTGCTCACTCCCACCCCAAGCCTCTAACAGGGCTGGCTGGTGCCACGTCCACCATGGCTTCAGAGCTTTATGGATGTGATCACAAAAGGGGAGCTGATTCCACTCTGTAACAAACCAGGTGCCCTCCAAGCAGTGGCCTTCCCCGAGGAGGGCCTGGAGGGGTGGTCAGTCATCCTATCCAGTGACTGAGGCCCATCCTGGCAAGAGCCCCCAGTGCTGGCCCTTGCAGCACTCTGTGTCCTCCCGACATCCCTACTGCACGTGGCCCACTCTGACCTCAGGGCTGACTGCTTCGGGGCCAGCCTATTCCCACACTCATGTCTAAGTAGCCTTCCTGCAGCTAATGGGGCAGCCAGGCACATCCCCAGAGGGGCCATTTCTCTGTACCCAGCACTGGCCACTGGCCATCATGTCCTTCGGTGATGGGACTCCCGGCTTGTCCCTGCCTGCACCTGCTGCCCAGGCCTCATTCTGACACCTGTACCCAGCCTCTCTCCCTGAGCATCCCACTGCTTCCCCAGCCCATCCATCCCTGCTCTCTCCTTGGGGCAGGGTCTCTTCTAATCCTGGGCTTCGGTCCCTGACCCCTCCTCCCTCCCAGACTCTGGGGGCCCTTCTGGGGACAAGGACCATCCAGCTGGGGGTATGCCCCAAGGCTCTGCTGGTCATCCCTTCTGTCCTCTCTCCAAGTCACAGAGTAGCCGGGGGCCTGGAGAGGAGGGAGGGGACAGTGAGACCCCTGCCATACAGGCAGCAATTCTGACACAGCCCTTCTCCGAGTCGTCCTCTTCCTGACAGTCACCAGGGCAACGCAGCCTAACATTTTACTCAGGTATGCTCTGACCACCCAGGGTGGTGACTTCCGGAATGTCCCTGTTCATGCCTGCCATTTACTGGCCAAGCCGGCTTATCCATGTGGGTAGGAATCCTTCTCTGCAAAGGGACCTGAGCGAGTACCACCACTGAGGCACCTGCAGGCATCGCCTGGCTCCAGGGGGGCTTGTGGGAAGGCGCCACGGAGGCACCGAGGGCATTTCCAGACTCCAGGTAACCAGAGAGCTGTGTTGTAAAGGTACATGGAATTATCAGATAACAGAAGACACGCACAGTTTCTGGCAAAGCTGCCTCATCTAACATGCTAAGGACCTCAGAGCACAGGAAGGTGAAGGCACTGCCTTGTCCTGGCTGGCAAGGGCGGCTGGCCCAACACACAAGGTCAACTAATTCCCAAGATGGCCGTGGCCTTTCAGGAGAGTCTGAAACAAAGGGAAATGTCACAGAGCAGCTGGAACATACATATGCGTGCCAACAAGCCACTGTGGCCACTAGGAATGGGGACCCTCTCCAGACCCTGTGGCCCCTCAGAGGCCCAGGAGTGCCTTCCGCTGCTGCCCTCTAATGCCAGTGGTTCCAAGGGCTCTTACTTGTTTTTTTTTTTTTTTTTTTGAGACGGAGTTTCGCTCTTGTTACCCAGTCTGGAGTGCAATGGCACGATCTCGGCTCACCGCAACCTCCGCCTCCTGGGTTCAGGCAATTCTCCTGCCTCAGCCTCCTGAGTAGCTGGGATTACAGGCACGCGCCACCATGCCCAGCTAATTTTTTGTATTTTTAGTAGAGACGGGGTTTCACCATGTTGACCAGGATGGTCTCGATCTCTCGACCTCGTGATCCACCCGCCTCGGCCTCCCAAAGTGCTGAGATTACAGGCTTGAGCCACTGCGCCTGGCCTCTTACTTCTAACACTGTAGTCAAAACTAAAAGGCTGTCCCAAATCCAAATATCCAAATGCTGCCTGAAGTATGGGGGAGCCATTAGTAGCTTTGAAAATGACACAGGTCTAAACTCGACATGGAAGAGAATCCTGGCAGGGGTGAGGGCAGGGCCCTGACAGAGTGACGACGGTGCTTTGGTTAAAAAAATTCTATCATTTATATGGTGTACACTAACGTGTAAGTGCAAGATTTGTATGTGCATGTATACACACCCACGCCACCATTCACCTCCATCAGTCCTTCCCTACGCATGCCAGACGCGCTATGTGCTGCCCCAGGGGTGGGGGGCCATTTTTCACCCATCTGCAGTCCCAGTGAGCCAGGAGGAACCTGGGTTCATCTGTTCAGAGGAGCAGAGCTCGGCCGCATGCTAACTTTGTTCCTTCAGCTCCAGCCTGCTTTCCTCTCCTTGTCAATACACGCTCTCCATTTCCATGGGGTTGCATCCCAATAAACCCGCTGTGAGTTGAAACGATCCTAAGTCAACAATGCGTGTGGGGGGGGGGTTGTGTATGTGTGAACATGGTTGTGTGTGGGTAGCGTGCCTGTGTCTATGTGGTGTGTATGTGGTATATGTGCTTTGGTGTCTACAGTATGCTCGTGGTGTGTGTGTCAACAGTGCTATGTTTGGTGTTTGGGTGATGTGTGTGGTATGCTGTGCTGTGTGTGGTGCATGTGTGAGTGGCTGTGTTTGGTATGGTGTGTATGGGGATAGTTGTGTTTTAGGTGTGGTAGTGCAGTGTGTGTGCTATGTTGATATGTGTGCACATGTGTAGTGTGCATGGTCTGTGTGGTGTTTGTGTGGTGTGTGTGATTTGGTGTACATGATGTGTTTTGTGCTATGCATTTATTGTGTGCATCATGTGGTATGTGTGTGTGTGGCGGACATGATTGTGTTTGTGGTGTGGGTGTCTGTTAGGTAATTTGTGATGTATGTTGTGAAATGTGTCATGTGGTGTGGACTGTGGTGTATCTGATGTGTGTATATGTGGTGTGTGTGGCTGGTGTAAGTGGTATGTAGGTGATGTGTGTCTGTTGTGTGGAGCAGGTACAGTATAGTGTGTGTGGTGCTAGTGTATGGTGTATGTATAATATGTGTGGTGTGTATGGTATAGGTGGCATAATGTGTGTAGCCTGTGTGTGTGCGGGGTGTTGTGTGTGGAGTGGTGTCAGGGGGGTGTGGTGTGTATCTACAGTGTGCTGTGTGGCTGGTATTGGGCATTTATGTCTTGGGTGTGGTGTGAATTTGGGGTGTGGCGTAAATCTGGGGTGTGGTGTGAATCGGGTGTGGTGTGAATCGGGTGTGGTGTGCATCTAAGGTAAAGTGTGAATCTGGGGTGTGTTGTGAATCTGGGGTGTGGTGTGCATCTAAGGTAAAGTGTGAATCTAGGGTGTGGTGTGAATCTGGGGTGTAGTATGTGTCTGGGGTGAGGTATGGTGTGTGTATAGGGGGTGTGGTATGTGTTTAGGGTGTGCAGTGTGTGGGTATTGGGTATGTGTGTCTGGGGTGTGGTATGAATCTGGGGTGTGGTGTGTAGGGGGTGCAGTATGTATCTGGGTGTGGTGTGTATCTGGGGTGTGGTGTGTGTGGGGTATGCTATGTGTCTGGGTGCGTAACGTATCTGTGTGTGGTATGTGTCTGGGGTGTGGTGTGTGCCTGGGATAGGATGTGTATCTGGTGTGGGGGGTACGTGTCTGCGGTGTGTGTATGTCCCTGCCCATCCTTCACGGCTGGCACCAGGGTAACTATAGTAAACACGCATTATTAGTCGCATGACAGCAATCCGTCCCAGGGCCAGCGTGGTGCAGGATGGCTGTGTAGCAGCTGTGAATGCTCTCAAGGCCACTGCCAAGGCCACTGTCCCTCCCGTGCAGCCACAGTACACACTGAGGCAGGCGGCCACTCCCAGCTGCTCCGGGTCCCTGCTGGTGCACTCAAACCCCCAGGACTCAGGATTGCCGGGTGAGCAGTTCCCAGGGCATGGGCCCCAAGGAAGTGCAGTCCTGACCTGCTCACCCCCTTTGTCACTGAGCCCAGGGGACCATGCTTGGGGGTGACACCCAGTGCCGTCTCCCCTGAGCACTGCAAAGGTAATTCCCACCACGACACCCCGGGGTGTCATAACTTCTCAGGACAGTCCCAATCTGCCCCAGGGACAAGGTTGGCCTGTGCAGGGGGTGGGGAGGGGGGCTGTTGGGGGAGGGGAAGTCATCAGTGGACCTTTTGTATCATCTTCCATTGATAATTCCCCTTCCCAGAAGCAAGAGCTGTGGTGGAGAAGGGAAGGAATGTGTCTAGGCGGAAAGGGGCACCGGCAGTCAATCTCCCACCCCAGCTCCTGACACGGGCCACACCACAGTGTGGCCCTGTCCCTCCCTTGGATGGGCAGCAAGGCCCCTGGGTGAAGGACGAGAGTGGACCCCCACCCCACCATCAGGCCTCAAGCTCTCCCATCTGCACGACACAGGCCTCTCCGCACCACTCTGCCCATGTGGCTACATCATCTCCACTGCACCCCACGCTGGGCCCTTGTGCCCTGGCGGCCTCTGCACACACCATGGACTGCATGTGGTAGACCCACCCTGATTCCCTTTCAGGAAGTGCTTTGGTCTCAAAGGGCCCCCATCTTTCCTGGATGGCCCAGTCCACGGGGCCACCTTCTGAGCACTGGCCAACAGCGTGTCAGGGCAGGTGGTGACATCTCCTGGGTGACACATGGCCCTCCACCAACTCTGGGGCAGACCTAGTCCCCGAGTGCGAGCCTGACCACCTGACCTTCCATCAGTCAGCCCCCTCTGGGGGGTGCGATGCTCCCCAAGACACAGGGTCACCCAGCAAAGCTGGAGGCACCAGACACAGCAGGGAGCAGAGCTGGAGGCACCAGACACAGCAGGGAGAACGGAAGATGCCATGGGTGTCCTCTAAGTTTCACATTCTAAAAACACTTTGCTAGCCCTTCAATCAGATGGCCCCCAAACCACTGTGACAACTACCATGAAAACAGCTGTTACAGGAAAGAAAAACCCAGCCAAGTTCCAAAGCAGCCCCGCCCTGGGTGGCTGGGGGAGGACACGGGAGGAGGTGGCAGTCCTGAGCCTTGAGCACATTGTAATGCCAATCTCCAGGCCCTGGGCCTCACCTGGAATGGTTCATTCCTGGCCCACAGGGCAGAAGATGGCGCTCACTCTCCTCAGGAAAGTCTTTGGGACCTGCAAGCCACACTGTGGCCTCTGCCACAGGAAGCATCTGCAGACCCCAACAGAACCCTGGAGCCTATTCTGGGCAAATTCACAACCACGGCCCTCTGAGCTCATGGCATGCCCATGATGCCCTGGCCTCGGGCCACCCTGGAAAGGGCTGAAGCCACTCTCTCCAAAGCTGGTCCTCCATGGGCAAGTCTCACAGACCTTGCAGGCTGTGGCCTCCGTGGAACAAGGGAACGGGAAGGTCCCAGATGGGGCCAAATGCCTGTGGAGAGCAAGACCATGTGAAAACGGGTGGCAGAGGGCTGGAGGCCCGAGTTCCCAACCTGCTCAGTCCATCCTGAGCGCTGGGAAAGGACCCCGCTACTCTCTGAGCTCCCCGACCCTCTACACACTGCTCCTGGCCACGCTGCTGCAAGCCCATGGCTCTATATTCACCAGATCTGATCTGTGGCTGCCAGGTTTCTGTGAGGTCTGCCCACGGGAGGCATTGACAGGAGACAGGAAGTCGGAAGGAAGAAACGTTTCTGTGGCTTCTCATAGGACCTCCAGCAGTGGTGAAGGCAGCGTGGCGGGCAGGGGGAGGCTGCAGGTCACATGGCCACAGCCTCAGTGGCACGGCAAGTCCGAGTAACAGTGTTTGACATTTCGCTCTTCCTGCCCACTGCTGGCGATGGAAACCTCACCTTCCCACTTTGTTCCCAGCCCTTCTAACACCTTTGTAACCAGTTCCCTGTGTTCAATTCCCTGTGCTTGAAATACCTGCAGTGGTTTCTGTTGCTGTTAACAGCGATCCCTTCTCCCTGGGCACCTCTTTCATTCCCTATGACCCCAGGGCCTTGTGTGCATGCCTAGCTACCGGAAGCACACTTGGGAGCCTCACATTTTAAAACATAACAGCGGCCAGGCGCGGTGGCTCACACCTGTAATCCCAGCACTTTGGGAGGCCCAGGTGGGTGGATCACCCAAGGTCAGGACTTTGAGACCAGCCTGGCCGACATGGCAAAATCCTGTCTCTACTAGAAATACAAAACTTAGCAGGCATGGAGGCACGTGCCTGTAATTCCAGCTACTTGGGGGGCTGAGGCAGGAAAATCGCTTGAACCCGGGAAGTGGAGGTTGCAGTGAGCCAAGATCCTGTCACTGCACTCCAGCCTGGGTGACAGAGAGACTCCATCTCAAAAAACAAAACAAAACTGTAACTTCTCCTGACCACACGTTCTGCCTGCGCCTGCCAGCAAAGGAGCCCTGGGTCCATGGCCAGGTCACAGGGACCCAACGCCCGCTTCCCAGCCTCCCTACCAGGAAGGAGCTTCCTGGGTCTGCCTGAAGGGCTTCAGTGCTGTGACAGGACACAGGCTCCATGGAGACACGAAGCCACCCGGGCTGCCTGCCCCAAGGCAAACTACCTGGCTGAGGAACACTATTCAGCTGTGAGAGCGGCCACAGGTGGCTCAGCACAGGCTTGGTCCACGGCACCCAGCGGAGGGCAGGAGCCACACGAGCCAGCCCGGCAAAGCTCTGTCTCCGCAGCGCTCCATGCGCAGCAGCAGCTTCTCCTGTCCGATGCTGGCTGCCAAGAGACATTCTGAGCTCAGCAGACATGGACCACCTGGGGCTCTCAGAGCTTAACAGGAGAGGGCAGCACCTTAAAACTCTCGGGAACTGCTGACAGTGTGTTTAAAATGTTTAAAAAGGGAGCAATTGGGTTTGCTTTTCCTCTTCATTAACTTCACTCCTCCCCGGGGCAGGCTCTAAGATGCCACTTCCTTTCTTTCTCTATCTACTGATCAGATACAATACAGTGGCCACCAGGGCCACCAAGCGCTGCCGGAAGCACCGGATACATCTTTGAAGTGTGGTTCTGGACCTTCTGCTATCTTTCAAGAGCAGACATTCCATCAGAATATTTTCCAATCCAGGGCAAATACCTCCCATGTCCCAGGGAAGTACACTAGACTCAGTCTTTTCTGTTGTTATTTTACAATGATGATGGAGACAGGGTCTTGCTCTGTGGCCCAGGCTGGCATGCAGTGGTGGCATCGTGCCTCACTGTAACCTCAAACTCCTGGGCTCCAACAGTCCTCAAGGCACGTGCCACCAAGCCTGGTTCATTTTTTGCATTTCTGGGTAGAGGTCAGGTCTTTCTATGTTGCTCAAGCAGTTCCGGAATGCCTAGCTTCAGGCGATCGTCCTGCCTTGGCCTCCCAAAGCAGGGGGTCTATGCCCCCCAAATCTTTTCTGCTTTTAAATACCACAAAGCAAGTCATTAAAACAACTCCCAATCTGGAAGCTCTGAATTTTTTAAAAAAATTTCCAAATACCACTTATATCAACCTCCAAATTGTTAGCAGAAATAGAAGCACTCTGGCTCTGGAGGCTGAGGCAGGAGGATGGCTTCAACCCAGGAGGCAGGGGCCGCAGTGAGCTGTGATTGTGTCACTGCACTCGAACCTGAGTGACAAACGGAGACCGTCTCTTGAAAAAAAAAATTTTTTTAAGGAAGAAGCAATCCTATATACCATGGGTATTGCCCTTTGGGGCAAATCTGGTTCACCATGGATTTTTGTAAATAAAGTTTTATTGGCACACAGCCCTGCCCATTCATTGTGTATTGACTATGGCTGCTTTTAGGATACAACAGCAGAGCTGAGTGGCTGTGACAGCAGGTGGCCACAAAGCCTAAATATCTAGCTCTTTACGGAAAACATCGGTTGACCCCTGCATACCAGAAGCGGCTTCATACTGACTGTTTACAGTTTCCCTCAGGATGGACCCACCGTGAAAGCGTGAAATGGCTCAACGAAGGGATGCAGCCAGGACAGATAAGGAAGGTAAAGGAACACGTGGAGGGATGTGGAGGATGCCCCCACCCACCGCCCACCTGCAGGAGGAGACAGATGGATGGGGCACAGAGCACACGGAGGGCCCGACTCACCTGTGGCCTGGCAGAAGAGGTGGAAGGTCCCCAGGACGTGTACGTGCTGGGCCTGGTCACTCAGGAAGGGTGGCAGCAAGGAGACGCTTGAGCTGCTGTCGGGCCCTGCACCCGAGGCTGGCCAGGGGGTCCAGGGAGAAGAAGGCCTCCCGTCCCCTGCATGGCCCAGACAGGACAGGGAGGAGGAGCCAGGAGGAGGGAGGGGCTTAGGAGATGAGGCTGTGAGACAGAGAGGACAGAAAAGAGAGGGCACTGAGGAAGAAGTCGCCAGGAGCACGTCCCAGGCCAGAGAGAGCACAACACAGCAGGAAACGGACAGAAAAGAGCGAGCCCAGCGGTCCCGCCTGGGCCATGCAGGGGCGGGAGGCGGCACGGCCTCTGCTAAGGAACGTCTTCCCCAAATCAAGGATAGAAGCTTCTCATTTATTTGGGTACTTTCCAAATGTATACAATTCAAAGTAGAAAAATAAAAACAAGGTAAATCTTATAAAACACAAACGTTTACACCAAAATGGTCAAATCCTATCATGCTGGAAGATGAGACTGTCCACACACGCACACAAACATCCAGAGTTTATTGCTCTTCGCCATGGAAAAGAAGTCTCTTCCTGATGGGTATTTACAAAGCAGGAAGACGGAGTATGAAATTAACCAGCGTTGAAATCGTACCACCCATTCACATCTTCAGGACAGCGCCAGGAACAGCGCCTTGTGCGCGAGGGGGCCCAGTTGCCTTCCAGTGGTGGGCAGCGCAGGGAGTCTGGATGGAGTCGGCACAGGCAGTGGGTATGAAATTGAAGGAAGAAGAGAAAGGAGATATTCACAGAACCAAAGGCGCCCTTGGGAAGGCTCCGTCTGTCTCAGTGGGAGGCTCAGACCGACGGCTGTGGGCACCAGATTGTACCGCGCTCCCCGTCTCAGCTCTGGGCCAGCCTGGCTATGCTCAGCTCACCGGGGTCACCTTCCCTTGCTCAAAACCCACCTCACGGACGTGGGAAGGTCTTCGTCTTCGAGAGAGTAAAAGTTAAAAAAAAAAAAAGAAAAATGAAGTACAGAAAGAAGATTTCTCTAAAAACGATGCTTCCCTCAAAGAATAAAGTTTAAACAAGAAAAAGGTGAGTGTGCTTCGAGGTGTGTTTATGTCTACATTTCTAAAAGCAGAAAGAATGCATTTAGCAAAAGGAAGTTTATCCCTGAGAATCTTAAGCAAAGTAAGCCGTATTTTATCCCAAATATATAACAAAATATGGAAGATATACATCTTCTTCTAAATATTAAAACACCTGCTTCTGTAATTAAAAAAAAAATGACCTATGACATCAACATAATCAAAGCAAAATCCTAAAAAAATAATTAAGTGGAAGAAAAGGTTCGTGCCAATCTGGACAACAGGCGATAAGTTACCAATCTGATAAACTAAAATGTCATTTCCAATCTGGAATTAAATCATCTTTTAGTGGCTGCTAGGAGGAGGGGAAGCCGAAGGTTGCTCTTCTCAGCCAACAGAGGTCCAGCCACCTTTCCCCCACTACAGAAAGGGCTCCGGAACTCCGCGCCACCTGCGGGACTCCTTCAAGTGCTCCGACTGACTGCGGACCACGAGACCGGGATGCAATGCTAGTCATTTTCCCAAAAGGACAAAGAGAAACCAAGTCACAGGCTCAACCCGGGAGAAAATAAGACAGAGGACTAGGGTTGTCTGCACGACGCGGGCTAACCTACGCAGCACGGCACGAGACTTGGATACTGAACAGCAGAAACACAACACTCTCCACGCCTGGACACATCACAGCCGAGGCGCCAGCGGGGACACGCAGCCGGCCTCAGTCTCCATCTGCGTCTGAGTCAGCGAACTTCAGCTCACACTTGACGTCGAAGGGCTTGTCCCTGGCAGAGAGGTCGTCGATCCTCTGCGAGTCCTCCCTGTCTGTGGGGACTTTGCTGGTGATGGTGTCTTGCTCGGTCTCATAGCCAGTGTCCAGGGCCGGCTTGGGGTGGTCCCCATTCTGCTGGGAGAAGCTCGCTGGCTCCACCAATGTCTCCTTCAGGCTCTGCTCACGGTCACAAAAATCGGACTTGGGCTTCTTCTTCCCGAGCAGCAGGGCCGAGCGGAATTTCAAGCACTGTCCGGGCAGGTAGCCCTTATAGCAGTTGTAGACAAAGAGGCAGAGGAAGAGAACAAAGAAAAAGAGGAAGAGGGACATGAGGAGACGGTTGTCGCTGGACTTAAGATACATGGTTTTCTCCGAGCGGAGCTGAGGGACCGTGTTGATGACGATCTTTGGTTCGCAGGATGTGCCGGTGGGCGCAAGCTTGGGAGGGAGGGTGACAGCCCCAGCGGAGGTGGCCTGCACAGCTGGGGTCGGGGAAGAAGACCCTTGGGAGGATACCACCAACACTTTGGTGGCAAACCTACTACCTTCGGTCTGAACAACTGGCAAGGTGGGGGCCACCACGGGCTTGGGAAGCACCTTCACCTCCAGGACATGCTTGGCAACCACTTGGAAGACCGTCTTGTTCTTAACCCTCTCCTCTGACAGGCACTGGTACACCCCACTGTCTCCTTCTGACAGGTTGAAGATAAGCAGGTTTTTTCTGCCCATGAGACCATACTTGGGGCTCTCGACCTTCAACACATCATTCTGGAACTTCCAAAACACCTGGGCCAGGTTGGACTTTTGGGAGCATTTCAGCTCTGCTGTGCCACCGTGCTTGAAAAAATGCTGCCGGTAACTTCCTTTACTTTTATCTGGAACATCAAAATAAATGTGCACAGTGTCAACAATCCCATTTGCTACTTAACAACTTCTTTAAAAAACAGGTTAATGCCCACAAGATGACGTAAGAGTTTCACCCACTGGAGCAACATGGAATCTTCCAGAACAACTAAGGAGATAAAGACATGCGTGACCAAAAAGCAAAGATGAGCCCTGGATGACAGACCAGGGGTGCAAAGAAACTGAGGGCAGCTCTGAGAAGCAGAAATCCCATTTCTCACTCCTGTGTCCCGGAAGAAAACGCGTCATGGGAGGCTGAGCAGAGCCCATTCTGCGCCTACTGTCAGCACTCTGAATCACACACAAGACGTTTCTACTAGTGGCTACAAGGAAGGGTGGCTTTTCAGTGCATCTCAGCACTCTCCTCCTGCCTAAACTTTTCTTTTCTTCCTTTTTTTGAGACAGAGTGTGGCTCTGCTGCCCAGGCTGCAGTGTGGTGGTGAAATCACAGCTCACTGCGGCCCCAACCTCCCCAGCTCAAGGGATCTTCCCACCTTAGTCTCCAGGCAGCTGAGACTTCAGGTGTGCACCTCCAAGCCTGGCTACTTTTTGTACTTTTTGTGGAGACAGGGTCTCACCATGCTGCCCAGGGCGGTCTTGAATTCCTGAGGTCAAGTGATCCTCCTGCTTCAGACTTCTAAAATGCTGGTAACACAGGCATGAGCCACTGCGCCCAGCCAGCTTTTCTTTTTAGAGTTTGAGTCTTGCTCTGTCACCCAGGCTGGAGTGCAGTGGTGAGATAAGCTCACTGCAGCCTTGAACCCCTGAGCTCAAGCAATCCTCCTACCTCAGCCTCCCTGATAGCTGGGACTACAGGTGTGTACCACCATGCCCAGATGTCTAAACGTTTCTTAGTCTGATGACAGCTGTCTTGTCAGGGACAGGAGGACACAGAACCGAGGGTCAAGTCTGCGTTTGGCACCCTGGAAGGTGGCTTCTGGGGCTGGGGCATCCTGGCCTAATTCCATCCCTCCTCTGGGCATGGTGCTATTTCAGACATCCGCAGGTGGGTAAATCCCAGATTGCAGCCCCAAGGGAATCACCACTCCAGCCCCTCCACTGCCTGAGGATGAACCACTCATGGGCTCCTTTCTCCCCGTTTATAATAGGCTTAGGTTTTGTTTAACGAGCCCCAAGCTAAGCAGAAAGAAACCAGGACAGTTTTGGAAGACCGCTTTCCAGTACACAGATACACTCGAAACGGCTTCAAATACTCTTTTGGCAAGAAAAAAAGACAGAGAAGCCCACAAGTCTGCTACAGGAACTTGACCTCTGCTCCAAGCGGAGAAAGAAAAACAAAACACGCACAAACGCCACAGCACTGAAGCACCGTGAAATGGTTACAGGACCTCGCCACTCCCCAAGGAAACGGGCTGTCGAGGAGCCACTCACCCGGGCACACAGAGGCATCGCCGCTCATCTCCTGAATCAAAGCCCTGCAAAGCAACCAGCACACGTTACTCACCTGCACACACAGGGGGCATCCAGGGGCAGCGCATCCCGCCCTGTACCTGCTGGGGCTCTCGGTCTGGTGCAGAGCCACGCAGGTCGCCGTGGGCGGGCTCCAGGCACAGTAGGGGTCCCGTGCCAGCACACAGTCCTCACAGGTGCCGTGCTTCCCGCAGAAGGCCAGTGGGGCCTGGACCACTCCCGAGTTAGAGCCGGCGTAGACGAACCTCTTGCCCTGTGCGTGTGAGACGGGAGAACTAGTGTCAGGCAAGCAGGCACCCAGCAGCAGGGCCTCTGCTTCTGCACCAGTGTGTGGGAGGCGGCTAGAGCACACCTTCAGGGGACGTTGCAGTAAGGAGGAAGAGGTACTCAGAACCAGAGGAAAACAAGGCAGGTCTGCGACCTTCCGGCAGAATCCGCGTGCTACGTCAGGGATCACTGGGCCGTGGGTCCAAATCCCTCTCCCTACTATGTGGGCACCCACTGCTCAGGTCCTGGCCGCCAGCGGAGTGCTTCTCTGCGTGTGCTTCTCTTAGGTGGGAGCAGGCTGTTCAGTCCCCACATCCGGAACTCTCCATGTAGAGGGAGGTGCCTGAGCCTGACACTCCTGGCCATTCTCTCGGCCTCACCATGGGTGAGAAGGGGCTGCAGCCAGAGGCTGAGGCACACCACTTGAAGCCCAACCTTGTCCCCAGAGCTAGCCCTTCAGCACCTGTGGGCAGGGAGCCTCTGTTGAGAGTCTGGACCCAGCAGGGGCCTAATGTAACAGGGATGCCGAACGGACAACTTATGAAGGATGAGGATGTGATAAATAACATAAAAGGAGGAATGATGCCTTTTGCTTTTCACGTGTCTACATGTAAACAGGAAGAACTCACAGATGGGAAATCAACCTCCAGCACCAGAGCAGCCGCAGCCACGCCCACAGCAGAGGGCAGGTGAGATTCTCCCACCCTTTGGGACACTTGGCTCCCAGTGACACTGGCTTCAGGTCCATCCCATCAGCCCACCTGGCACCAGCAATGCCCAGCACACGAGCAACTAGGTTTTTTTTTTTTTTTTTTTTTTGAGACGGGGTTTCGCTCTTGTTACCCAGGCTGGAGTGCAATGGCATGATCTCAGCTCACCGCAACCTCCGCCTCCTGGGTTCAGGCAATTCTCCTGCCTCAGCCTCCCTAGTAGCTGGGACTACAGGCGTGCGCCACCATGCCCAGCTAATTTTTGTATTTTTAGTAGAGACGGGGTTTCACCATGTTGACCAGGATGGTCTCGATTTCTTGACCTCATGATCCACCCGCCTCGGCCTCCCAAAGTGCTGGGATTACAGGCTTGAGCCACCGCACCCGGCCGCAACTAGGTTTTAACAGAACTCAGCTGGAAGGAGGGTGCCACACACTGCACCCACCTGAAGCTCGGGGGCATGCAGCAGACCTGGAGGCTGGTGAACAGATGCCAAGTACCCGGCAGCTTATAAGGCACTCAGGCTATTTCATTCTCTTTCCCTTTCAGAACTGAAGGAGAACTCTCCACTAGCAGAGAGAGGAGAGTGACCACGTAAAAGGACCCAGGCTCCTGAAGCTTTGTGGATACAGGAGAGGGAAGAGGATGGGAGACCTGGAGGAGCATTTGCAAATACTGCCAAGGGTAGCTCTGTTCTTACCTGGCCGGACAGGGGCCCCTTCCTCTACCTGTTGCTCCTGGCTGAGGGAGGAGGGCCCGACTGGCAGGAGCCAGGTCCAGGGAGGCAACCCCCTAAAAGCAAGCATGGATGCCCACCCACCCCTGCCACGGGTTGCTTGGGAGTACTGCAGGCCAGAGCAGAGATTCTCAGCCACAGGTGGAGAGAGCTTTATAGATGAGACAAACCACTTCTCTTGAGGAGTTTCCATGCTGATGAGTCAGCTGTTACCACTATCACACTCCACAGAGTCTGCACAGCCCCCAGGCTCAGGGCACAAAAATGTGTTTTCACAGAGCAGTACCCACCTCTCCACAACCGGTAAACCTGCATCAACAACTCAGTGACGTTCCAGCAAGTTTGAAGAGGAAGTCCCATCTCCCCAGGTCTGCCTTCCTGCCTTGACCAGTTCAGATCCCAAAGCTCACGGAACGGTTTTGTGTCAAAGTCTGAAGGTCTGCTCATCCAAGGCAGATGGACAGAGGCGCCTGCCTAGGAGCCCAACCCCAGCTTGGCAACTCTCCGGTCACCCAGAATCGAAGCTACCGGGTGGGGAAGCCTCCCGGTCTGGCTGCCTGCATCACTTTACCTTCTTTGAAGACAGCAGCAGGGTCTGGACCGGCTCGAAGTCCTGGAAAAGCTGGGTCTCCTCAATGATGTGCACGGAGTGCCCGAGGCTGATGGCTTTGTGCAGAGCTCCCCGGTCTGCAGGGTCAAAGCTGCAAGTCAGTGACACTGACCCAGACACAAAAACCGACGATAGTGACCACAGCAGCAAACTTCACACTCTTCACTCTCAATTCATTCCCTCAACAAGATAACGTAGAAAACAATGATTTTGCATCAGAAACAAAAAAAATGGAAAAGCCTGTGGCAAAACAAACAACTGGAAACTCACGTGTTACGGGTTATTCCAGTTTTTTCCATGGAAAGCAGACTGTTCTATGGTGGACCCCAACAATCCTCATCAACAGTCAACATTACATTTGAGGCTGGACACCACATGAGGGGGCTCCCACACTCCACCGGCCCTCAGCGTGTCATCGGTAAGGGCCCTAGGCAGGCAGTGAGGGCAGGGGGCGTGTGAGGTCAGCTGGGAGGCTCCCAGGGCCCCTGTCCCTGTTCCAGAAGTGCTTGTTTCAGAGTCCACATGCGAGGGCACATTTCAAACCTGGCTCCTCAGCCAGCAAGCAGGGACGTGGTCTTCTGCCAGCAGTTAGGAAACGCCGGGCTGACGCCTCCTCCCAGCCTGGCTCACACCTGCGCCCTGCACAGGCACTGACCCAACTCCTCAGCGGCCAGGACTCCTCTGTAGCAGCTCAGCCCAGACGCAGGCCAGGACTTGCATTTTTATTTTTAATAAGTACCCCTAGTTGCCTGGTGGTCCCAGATCTGAAAGACACCTGGTGTGGTGACTTCTCAGAAATCTTTTCACGTTCCCACAAACCTCCCGGGCCACCTTGAGGGAGGCAGTGGATCCACTCACAAAAGAACAACTGGATTTCCTGGTTTTCCTACCAAAGGACACACATGTGCTGGAACCCACCTGTGCTGACAAACATGACGTCATAGACAGTCCCATCCAGAGCCTGGGTCCGGTCCACCACGATCTGGGTGTAGTTCACATCTTTCTTGATTAACCTGGGCCTGTTGTCTATTGGGGTTACCGAGTCGTCCATCAGAGGGTGGTCTTTGACGAACTGCAACGTCTTGTCTGGCAAGTTCAAGGAGCTGGTGTAGTTGGCTGCCCGCGCCTCGCTGTCGATGCACTGTGGGAGAAAACCCCCCCGCTGTGAACGTGCTGGCGCTCCCAACACCCAGGGGCGCTTCCACACGAGCAGCCAACGCAGCAGGGCTGCAACACCTGGAAACCACGCAGTGCATTCCTTGAAATGAGGGTCGCAGTGAATCACTTCACCATGCCGAAAGGTGGCCTCTCCCTAGCCTGAAGAGGACACAGTTATAAAACACATCTGCAAAAGAGAATTGCACTTCATGACACATACTCAGGGAAGGAAGTTTTATCTATTTGTAAGTGAAAAACACTTATTGAGCTTTTGCAATTGAAAAACAGAACACGGATTTGCAGCTGTCTCATGAAAACAATGCTAAACATTGCTAAAAAACAGGCCAATTTTAAACAGCGTAAGAGTCTGAGGGTTCTTTTTCTAGCTCCGTAATGTGTGTAAACCAAAATTTGTGGCCACGAGTGAACACATTTTACTAAGCTATGGACAGAAGAAGCCATGGTGCTGTCAGGGGCAGGTGCCCTTGGGAGGGAGCTGGTGCTGGCCGTGGTGAGCTCTCAGGGACAGGACACCACAGGTAGGCCACAGCCCCACCGAGGGCCACGCACATGCCTCACACACCCATTTCACCATGTGAGGGAGGGAACTGGACTGGAAATTCCCAATTTCTATACAAAGTTCACTACATTTAGGAGGAAAAAACGTGACTCCTGTTGACTACTAGACAGTGCAGAGGCCTTTGCCCAGAAAATTGTTTCTCTGTAACAAACTGAAAATGAAATTGACCTTTTTGTTATGCAATGTTAATTTTGCAAAACAGCTGCCCCAGCATCACGGCCTTCTTGTTTGTGCGATAGTGTAGCAATGGCTGTTATGTAACATGCAAAGGGAAGAAGGATGAACTGTGTTCACTGGCCCTCCCAGTCCTAAGGCAGAGAGCCCTGCAATGGCCAGGTACCCAGCCCACGGGCAGGCCCCAGAGCTTGCACCGGGCTCCACGCTCTGGGCCTTGAAAATAAACTGTTAAAAAGGAAAAGCACAGCCCACCCCCAATGCCCCAGCTCACCGATCCAGGCCGCGGCTTGGGTACCGGGCCATTGTAGCGCACCCACTTGGTGTGGGACTGCTCCACCGTGGCACTCTGCATGTACTTCCCGTGGGAGAAGACCTCGTCGGCCGTGGACAGGTTGTAGGCACACACTGCCGACAGCCCCACGTTGTTCCTGGGGAGGGGAAGGAGGTGATGGGACTGCCTGGCAGGCATGGGGGGAACGAGGAGGGGGACTCCACCCAGGGCACTTACAGCTGTGGGCTGAAGAGCGCGTAGAACACAGGCCCCTTCAGGCCCGGGGACCTGAGCACGAAGACGTCTCGCAGCACATTGAAGATCAAGCTGCTGTCTGGCCGGGAGCAGATGAGTCGGGCCTTCAGGAAGGAGGTCCACTTCTTCTGCAAGGTCCTCAGGCCGCCCTGGTCCCCCTGAAACCCAACAACAAGTACATGGTGGGCTGAGGGCGGATCCCCCGTGACCAGGCACTAAGGTCCGAGGTGCACAGCTCCGCGGCCCAGCACAGCGCACCTGTGTCTGAGTAAAACAAAGCTCAGGCAACAGGGCAAAGAGGCTGCAGACAGTTACGTGTGTGGCCTGTAGTGCCATGTCCAAGTTCCAGCTTGGACCCCAAACGCTCCCAGATTAACAGGCAAAACAAAACAGACAAAAACCCACTCAGTGAAAGCTCATTCAACCGTCCGTGCCTGCACGTGCCCAACGCTCGGTCCTGTAACCGCAGAGGTGCTTCCGCGCTCAACACTTCCAACTGCCAAGGCCCCTGGCCCTGTGTGACTCTTGACACACAACCCATCAATGAACATGCTCTGGGTGGGACAGGTGGGGGCAGCCTCCTTCCATGGGGCAGCCACAGCCCTGCAGCCTGTCTTGGGCAAATGCGTAAACCTTCCTCCCCTTGAAGGAATAGATCCTTCACTTCCTTTCTACCCAAAGTATCTGCTAAAGTGCTTTGAACCTACTAGGTTCTTTATAAATGCTTTTCAGCGACCTGATGACCAAGACACAATTATAAACCATGCATGACTGTGTGTGGTCTGGTTAGAAATACTGAAACCATAAAATCTGAGTGCAGAAGAATGTGAAATAGAAGCGGCCTTACTTATTGTGAACACAACGAAAATGTTCCCTTTTCATCTCTGCTGTGTGATTACAGGAGGCCAAATTCTCTTTTTTATAAAAGGACTTCATTTTGCTCCTTGATGTTTTAGCAAAGAATCATTTCTGGCACATTTTTCATCACAGGTCTCATTTGGCTTTCAGGTCATGAGGAGTAGGTGAAGGGTTCGTGTGTGCCTGGGTGGTAGGCAGGAGCTATCATGGCCAAGCGCAAACCACCCCAGTCCAAGAATTCAAACAACTGTGGAGAAAAAATACAAAGGGGCCGGGCGCGGTGGCTCAAGCCTGTAATCCCAGCACTTTGGCAGGCCGAGGCGGGTAGATCACGAGGTCAACAGATCGAGACCATCCAGGCCAACATGGTGAAAACCCATCTCTACTAAAAATACAAAAAAAAATTAGCTGGGCATGGTGGTGCGTGCCTGTAATCCCAGCTACTCAGGAGGATGAGGCAGGAGAATTGTCTGAACCCAGGAGGCAGAGGTTGCAGTGAGCCGAGATCGCGCCATTGCACGCCAGCCTGGGTAACAAGAGCGAAACTCCGTCTCAAAACAAAACAAAACAAAATACAAAGGGATTGGAGGGGATGACAGCTGTGCACCTATGATTTGCAGAGATTTGTGGGGGGTGGGGCTGGCTGCACTGTGCCTCACTGGATGTGCTCACTGATCCTGCTGCAAACCCTCAATGCTGGATAAGTCAAGGTCAAGGCAGGTCTGACCCTTGGCTTCCCAAGGGCAGGAGAGAGCTCGAGCCCCCTGGCCAGTGCTGCTCTGAGAACATTCTGAGCACTCACTGCGCACACCTGCAAAGAGCTCCGGCCCTGCAGCACCCTCCCCACCTCCAGGGGCACTGGCCTGCCCCCCACACTCACACTTTTGGCAGGATGGTTTCCTGGTCTGCAAGACAGGAGCATAGCAGCTATGGCTGGGAGACAGGCGGAGGATCTGGTCAGTGAGCCCTGGCTAGAGAAGGCCTGGGCAGAGGCAAAGTACCAGGTGGATACTCAGGTGTGCATATCACCCACCTTCTTCTCTATGTGAGGGGTTGTTAAGAGAACAGCATCAAAAGCACCCACTTTGTGCGCCATAGGCATGAAAGGAACCCCTGCTTCTCGACGTCCTGGTGGTCATCACTATATGAGAAAGGGCCATGCAGGAACCATCTAACAATTTCCACGAGGGATGAAGAGCTACCTGCTCCGAGCTGAGCACCTGGCCAGGGACACAGCAGCTGGCTCTCATGGTTTCCCAAAGCTCCTCTGAGGCCTGACAATCCACTCCCAGAAACTGCCACTGGGCAGCCTTGAGATTTCCTACGGTCAAGCCCACAGGCGGTTCTCTTGTGCTGAGCACTATGCCCACAGTGTGTCACTTTAAAGGCACCGTCCCTCCCCCAGTATGTACCTAAAGCTTTGTGTTTTGGCAGACTTCGGTCTTGGTTCTCTCTTCTTAATCTTTTTTTTTTTGAGACGGAGTTTCGCTCTTGTTACCCAGGCTGGAGTGCAATGGCACGATCTCGGCTCACCACAACCTCCGCCTCCTGGGTTCAGGCGATTCTCCTGCCTCAGCCTCCTGAGTAGCTGGGATTACAGGCACGCACCACCATGCCCAGCTAATTTTTTTGTATTTTTAGTAGAGACGGGGTTTCACCATGTTGACCAGGATGGTCTCGATCTCTTGACCTCGTGATCCACCCACCTCGGGCTCCCAAAGTGCTGGGATTACAGGCTTGAGCCACCGCGCCCGGCCTCTCTTCTTAATAAACTGTCAGTTAATGTTTCAATCTTAGGTAGATTAAGAGCCAAATGGTGAAATTCCGAAGATTCTGGTGAATATACTCCACAAAGCCTTGCTTTTTATACAATGGGGAGGCTTGAGGAGGGTGCATCAAAAAACAGAACCTCCTGAGAACAGGAGGCTGATGGGTCGCACGTGGGGGCCAGCATTCCTCCAGTCCCCACAACCCCCAGAAATAAGGCCTATTGAGAGGCACATCTGAGGCCCCATGGAATAAAGTGCTAAGGGAAGTGACATTTCAGACGAAGGCCGGAGCAGTCATCATCCAGGGACACTATTGCCACGGCAGGGGCCGAGCCAAGCCGGACTGCCTGGCGCTCACCTTGCACACTCTTGCTATTCGTGGGATCTGCAGCCTGAACACGAACTCGTACTCCACAGACACCTCCGTGAAGAAGAAGTAGACCCTGTCATCCTCGCCGTTGGGGCTGTCTGGGCTTTTTCGGATCACGTCAGCAAACACGAAGTTAGGCTCTGCAGAGAGAGGTCAGTGATTACCCCGGAACACAGAGCTGGGGGACGGCCTGCACCCACGAGGTCACCAGGCCGGCCTGCACTGCCTTTGGGGGCCTGAGGACTTCCCTGCAAGGATATCTGGAGTGTGCACATGCCATAACCCAAGCAGAAATTCCAGGGTCCAGGGATGCCAACAGCACAGAGCCCAGATGGTGCCCTACCCCCCACCTCCTTGGCCTCAGAGAGGTGCCCCCAATCGTGGTTCTGGGGAGCGCATCCTACCCAGGTCCACCCGAAGAAGTGAGGCTGGGCCTTCTGATTAAAAGGCAGGGAACCAGATGGCATCAGTATCAGAGACCTACATAGGTATGCATTTGCAGGTTTAAATAACACATGCTTCAAATAAACACCAGATCCTGCCCTACCCCGAGGAATAGCCAGCTGTCCCTGAATCTTGGATCTTGGGATCTGCCCTGAGGTCAACAAGTTCAAAACCCAGGGCTCTGCAGGCTGGCACCCACAAGAAAAGACCCCATGAACAGCCACCAGCGTCTTCCTGCACATTGAAGATGGAAATCAGACACGTGCTGCTGGCAGTAACAAGGCACCCGTAGCCCATCCAACTGGGCACTAGAGGCTGGCCTGCAGGCAGGGCCCACACCAGTGTTCATGCCACACTTTAGTATCACTCTGGAAATTACACCATGTCTCCATCCGATTAGACTGTTTGCCATTTACTATCAGATTCTCACTTTTACGAGAGTCTCCCAAATCCATTCTTTGGGGCGTTAGCGGGGAGCCGTCTTAAGACAGTACACTGTTAGCAGAGAAAACAGCAAACAAGGCACCCTGGGACTCTGGCCATTGCTGAGCAATTCGGGAAGCGTCCCCCTCCACCCCCGCAAACAGGGGCTGACACAAGCTTGGGGGCCCTCAGGGCTCAGGGACAGCAAAAGGAGAGAGAGAGCAATGGGTGCATGCTCCCGAGGAGACCCCACCTCCCGCTAAGGCGCACTGCTCCTCCTTACCATTCAGCCAAGGGATTGCGTATTCTGTCCTCAGAGGACTAGAGGAAGAATTTCGGGAGATGATGGGTTCACTTCCCAAAAAATTATACGACGTCCCCGAATAAAGTTCTCCATCTACAGGGGTCCAGGAGAAAAGAGGAAAAGGAGCCAACCTCTCAGGCTACGACGCCAACACGGAGACAGACATTCCACCAATTAAGCCCCCACCCCCACCCCGGGGGAAGGGAAAGACAGTCTCCTCAACTTTTGGGGTGCCCTGTGTCTTCTAGTTCTTTTTCGAGATGAGGCTTCTTGTTTTGATGCAGGCTCCCACTCTGTTGCCCAGGCTGGAGTGCAGTGGTGCAATCTCGGCTCACTGCAGCCTCCGCCTCCCGGGTCAAGTCATTCTCATGCCTCAGCCTCCCAAATAGCTGGCACTACAGGCATAGGCCACCATGCCCAGCTAATTTTTGTATTTCTTGGGAGAGACAGGGTTTCATCCTGTTGGCCGGCTGGTCTCAAACTCCTGACCTCCAGCGATCCAGGCGTGAGCCACAGTGCCTGGCTTGAGGTGAATTCTTGCTGTTTCCCAGACTTGTCTCAAACGCCTATCCTCCTGCCTAAGCCTCCCAAGTAGCTAGGACCACAGGCATGCTCTCACTTTGATGAGGATAATTTTATGCTCCATGTTCAGCTGCATTTTAAGAGTCGTGGGGCAATAAGTAAACGCAAGGAAGTAACTCCCGCATCCAGAAAAATGTTGGCAGATGCAACAGTGGGTGCACACGAGGCTATAGCCACTTGCTCAGGGGTGCGAGACCACAGACAGCGTGTGGCTTGGTCAAAACCTCCCTCTGAAACAGGAGCATCTGCTCACCATGCTAGCATTATCCAAATGACATGAGCCAGCGATGGATACAAAGTGACGTTTACCATGGTAGCTATTATCTTTGAGAACAATGAATTCAAAAGTTAAAGAGTCTATGCAAATCCCTGCATCTTTTGTAAGGGTAGCTCGTATTTAAACAAAGGCAAGGAAGACAGGACTTCCCAGAAGAGCCGAATATCCTGTTTGGTAATTAACATGACATCGCAATCTTCGGGTGAAGGAACTGGAGGGGCAGGACTCACCAACTATGACGGATGTGTAGCTGTGTGCTGGGTCAAAGGGACATCTTCCTTTGCCATCTTCATTTCTCCCCAGAAACTTAAAGGATGTTAAGCTCTACAGTTGAATAAAAAGAGAGACCCTTATCAAATGGCTGAATTTCTGTGGTAATGTGTCTTTGTACCATTTAATTGTACAAATCTGCTATTCTCAGAAGACCAACAGGGCCGCAGGTGGGTGTGGCGCCATGGGAATCCCGCCCACCAGAGCCAGCCCGTGTGTTGCTCAGCTTGGGTCTAGACATCAGCACCTCGGTGCCCTTGCTCTGACGCCCTGGCCAAGCTTCCCAAGATCTCAGACCCTCAGTTTACTCATCTGCAAAATGGAAATGGCAATTCTGATGACTCTAGGGCTGGAAAGCTGCCAGGACAAACCATACAGAATAAGCTCAGTATGTGAGCGGAAGCCCTTGTGCAGAATTTTAACATCAATAAAGACTGCATTCTAAGCAGCTAGATGACCCAATAAATAGGAAACAGAAAAACCTAAACAGGCAGAATCCATACCATGCTCCACTCACCAAAATACATTCCAGATGAATCAACAATCTGATCACTAAAAACAGAACAGCACTGCACTAAAACGAAGCAGGGGCTGGCATTTCCATCTAGGGGTCATCTCTTTACCCGGCCAGAGCGCCCACAGCCACACGAGGAAAAAAATGCACAGAGCCAACCACAGGGAGAATTGAAAGGTTCCACACAAGGAAACAACACGGCAAGGTTAAATATGTAACAAACTGGGGAAAATGCCTACAGAATGGCAGATGAGGTATCTCTATCCCTGAACACGTGAGAAGTGTGGACAAATGCATGAGAAAGAGTATCCAGCGGAAAAACAGGCAAAACCCAGCAAGTGGCAGAAGAAACGCATCTCGACAGCACAGACAAGAGAGGAGGGCTGAGGCTGCTGGGAACCAGAGAGCACACAGAACACGTGTGGGGATGTCGAAGAAAACAGTCATGGCCCACCGTGGGGTGAGGACACCCAGCACCTCTGCCGCAAGAGGCTGGCTGGAAACACGCTCTCGGAAGCAGAGCAGGGAAGCTCAGGCCACGTGGAATGCCGTACCGACACCCCTGAAAAGCTGGTTAAAACAGCACACGGCTCTTCACCTGTTAGGTTAGGGAGTGTGAACTCCGCTTGACAGGACCATTTATCATACCTTGAAAGAAGGTTTAAGGCTGTTGGGGAAATCTGAACAGGGACTGGAGACCAGATGATACTGGGGAATTATTGAACATTTTCTTAGAAATAATGACAAAACTGGAGTTACAAAGGAAAATGTCACTATTCTTAGGAGACGCCTGTGAAGGCATTTGGGAGTCATGGGTCAAAGTTCAGCAAGCACACATATGTGCACACACGGACACACACATGGACACAGACATGCACAGGCAGACATGGGCATATACACGCTCCCAAATGTGCAATCTAGGTTGCCAGTATACACAAGTGATACGACTTTTCTGCAGGTGCGAACATTTTTATTAAAAATTAGGGGCCGGGCGCAGTGGCTCAAGCCTGTAATCCCAGCACTTTGGGAGGCCGAGGTGGGTGGATCACAAGGTCGAGAGATCGAGACCATCCTGGTCAACATGGTGAAACCCCGTCTCTACTAAAAATACAAAAAACTAGCTGGGCGTGGTGGCACGTGCCTGTAATACCAGCTACTTAGGAGGCTGAGGCAGGAGAATTGCCTGAGCCCAGGAGGCGGAGGTTGCAGTGAGCCGAGATCGCGCCATTGCACTCCAGCCTGGGTAACAAGAGCCAAACTCCGTCTCAAAAAAAAAAAAAAAAATTAGGAAAAATTATAGCTCTAAATTTAAAACAAACACACTATCCTCTAACCTCAACAACTAACCTATCTACAGAATGTAAGTTTAAATGACAGAACTTTAAGCTTCTGATTAAATCGAGTTTAGCCAGAAAAATCCTTTGATATGCAAAATGTTTCTAGTCCCACTGCATTTTTTACGCAAAAAGAAATACAAACGACTGTCTTTGAGGACTGAGGGTCTTACCATCCCCAAAGCACCTCCCACCCCAGTAAAAGTCTGGCTTTCACTGCCAACATCTGTGGTACAGGCAACTGGGTAGACCCCTGCTATGAATCTCACCCCAGATGTCTGTGTGCAAATACCAGGCTTCCCCAGCAAGTCTCTAATGAGGCCATACGTTGTCTTGTCATTTATCTCTGACTTAAGATTGGAAAATATTTTAATTCCAATTAATTTAGGGTTCTAGCAAATGATGCTTTTCACTGTGGCATATTTCGCATTTATCGGGACTCATTAAAATCCAGGGACACACAGTCAAAAACCTGCTTCATTTTCCATGTTCCATGGACTTTTAAAAAATGTTCCTTCCCCCTCTCCTTCTGACGATCATCACGTTGCTCATCAGATTATCGGGATAGAAAAGACCCTCACATAGGGGGAGGTGCCGGACACCAGGCTGGGCAGTCAAGGATGGAACACGGTGAGGGACAGAGGCCGGACCTGCTTCTCAAGGAGCTCAGCACACTCCACCCGTGGCCCATGAGTGGGCGAACCCAGGAGTGGTTGAGTGAGCAAGCTGCACGCCACAGCCCACCCGAAGGGTGGATCTCACAGCCAGAGCACAGACGCACCAACCAAGAACACACAAGCCAGGAGCAAGTCCTGACTTTCCCACCTGACCCAGATGCCCAGTGCTGTGCCAGGCTGTCTGTCCTTTCCAGCACGCTCCGCCCGTCTTTCCCACCTGACCCAGATGCCCACAGCGGCCGGGCTGTCTGTCCTTTCCAGAATGCTCCCCGCCATGGCATGCTCTGCACTAGCACCAAGGGCTCCCAGCACCTTGAGACTCGCCCCAGGCCTCGCCCTTGGCCATGGACGCCGACATTTAGAGGAACCAAGTGGGCTGTGTGCCCCCGACAGCAGTCATGCAAGGCTTTCAGAGGGGCCACAAGCTGCCCCTATTTTCTGCAGCTGGCCCAGAGAAAATCCTATTGTTTTTTTAGGGTAGAGACAACTTTATGTCTGCCTTGAGCCCCTTTCTACTTTCACTGCTAACCAGGCTGACGTGAGCACCAGGAGGTACCCATGAGCCTTACCAGGTAGTCGCAGGCCGGCTGGAATGCGTTGGTCCCACACACGTAAAGGGAAGTGGTACCGAGCGGCTGCAGCACCCGGATGTAGTTGAGGCACTCTGTCTGCAGGGAAGAGAAACGCCCCATTAGCAACTTTGCAGCCCAAATGCCCTCCACTATTCAAACTGCTCACACCGTTCATCTCAGGGGCACAGACCCACGTTCACCAACACCAGCTCACACGTGGCCTCGGACCAACGAGGTATGTGTGTGCATTCTCGGCCTTGTCTTGCCGTCTAGACCCTCTGCAGCTCCTCTTCACACGCTGGCCTGTTCTCGTGCAGTAGGAGGGTCACTGGCCCCAATCACTCCCCTGGGCAAACCTAAAGCTGAAGCTGGCCTGAGAAATTGTATCTCTGCAATGTCCACAGGCTGTTCAGGTGCCAAGCAGGATTTTGTTTCAGTCCCTAATTGATACTCAGCAAAGATGTGGTGACTGAAAAAAAGACTCAATGGATGCTTACCTCAACTCTTACTGGGACACCCGCTGCTGAAAGCAATACATTTTACTCTTGCTAAGTACATAGACCATTTGTTTTGTTGCCAGACCTGGGGACGTGTCCACCCTCCAGAATTCCCTCTTTGTTCCTGGGGACCTCAGCCTGCCTCCCACTTGCACAGAACTGGAAACAGCAATTCTAGGTCTACCCAACCCAGGGCTCCAGTCCAGGCCCCAGGGAGAGGCTGCTCTAGGAGAGCCTGGAGCATGGTTTGGCATCAGAAAGGCCCAAGCAGGAAAACAAAGAAACCATTTCAGAACCCACTATTTTAGGCTGAGAGTACTCAGATTACATGTGCTATAGTCTGAAACGATCCCAGATTAGGAGAGTTCTCTTTTGGCTTGACTGTTTTTAAACAGGTTGGAAGTAATTCACTATTCACCCCAACCCACCTGCACACCCCTGGAAACTGGAGCTACACTGCCTGCCTGCTTTTCCTCTCACTTCCTAAACTACCTTTGGATTTGAAGACAAAGACTTCAGCGCAAGTGTTCAGCATCTGTGGGGGGAAATCCCCGCAAGTGCCGAGGCAACAGTCTGAAGCCTCCGCCTGTTCCCATAGGAATACTGAATTAGAAAAGAATTAGAAAGATAAGCACATAGTTATTCCTATACAGGATCATATAGAATCATTTAGTTATTCACATATAATCATAAAGATATATATAAAACCTTTTAATTTTACTAATGATTATCAGGTAATGAAGCATGAAACGGAGGTGACGTTGTGAAAAAAGTGATCCTAAGGCAGTATGCTCTAAGCCCTCTGTCACGCCCACGTGAGGGCTGCTGAAGGGCACCTCGGCTGTGCGGCAGCACCAGCGCTGGGAAAGTGCCCGCTGTTTAGCCAGCTAGGGAAGGAGACATCCAAAATGGCTGAGATGTGCCCTTCCTGGGGAGTTAGGAGAACACTCCACTTCTCCAAGCTCTTGTGGTGGACCTGACGGCTGTCAGGGAGGCCCACAGACATTTGGGGGCTTAACTGTCTCTACGTGGTGCTGCGCTTCAGTGGTCACGTTCCACGTCCACTTTCATGCTCCCCTTCTGCACCTGGATCCTCTTTTCCTTAGAAGATAAGAATTAGTAACACCCATAACTATTAATGTCCTTGATATTTTTGACAAGCGTGTGAAAAGCGCTGACGCTTAAGTTTTCTCCTCGCCTGGGCTACTTCAAAGTCCCGGGCCCCTGTCTCCAAGGCACGTGATTTACTGGACCCTATCACTGACCACCAGTGCTTCGCCCCACCTGCCCTGCCCCCTGCTTTCTACTCAATAAAAGTCAGGGTGTCCAGGCCCTCGGGGCCACTGCTGGGCTCTGCGCTTCGGCTGGCAGTGGACCCCTGGACCCAAGCTCTGTTTTCTCTTTCTTGGTGTCATGTGTCTTTTATTTCCACAGTTTCTCATCTCCACACCTGTAGAGAGGGGCTCACGGGACCCTGTAGGGCTGAACCCTACAAGCATTTCATTAGGAAAGTTTAGCAAAGACTTCTTGAGTTTTCTTTCTTTTTGTTTTTTGCTCTTAACTCAGCTTGTCTCGACCACCACTGAGGAAGACTGCCCAATGCCAGGTAGGGACACGATGGCTCAGAGGGTGACCAGGGTAACCTAGACCTGCAGAAAGGAATGAGCACTCCACCCAGGGCTCCCTGAATGAGCACCATACTGAGGAACCTGAGGGCCCAAAGGGACAGATGTGTGCCAAGAATCCAAAAGTCGTAGTGATAGAGAAAGGAAGCAGAGAAAGTCTAGGCAGACAGGGGCAGGTCCCTGGCAAAAAACCCCACCTTTGAGCCAAAAAGCCTGAAACCTGTAGCCCAGAGTGAGAACTTCTGTTTGTCTGCCTCTCATGACTGGTTCTTTCTGAATAATGCCTTTTTACAATCAAATGTTGCCTTTTCCGTAAAAACCTATAGCAGCCCATCCTGCCCTCCATCCTGTGCCTATAAAGACCCCAGACTCAGTTGGTAGAGAAGAGAAGGAGCCGGACTGGAGAGAGGTGACTTGACTTCAGAGGGACGGATGGACTTTGGAGAAATGGCTTAACTTTGGAGAGGAGCTGGCCATAAACGGCCAGACTTCAGGGAAGATTATTTGCCTGTCCTGTTCCCTCCCCAGCCCCCCTCTCCGCTGAGAGCCACTTCTGTCACTAAACAAAATTCTCTGACTCCACCATCCTTCAAGTGTCCATGAGACCTCATTCTTCTTGGACGCCAGACAAGAGCTCAGGACCCACTGAATGTGGGTACCCAAAAAAGACTGCCCTACTGGCCCTTTGCCCTTACTGGCAGAGGGCAGCTGCCCCATGCAATGAGGCGAGGGGCCCACTGAGCTTCTAACACAGCATTGTCCACAGAAAGCAGAGATAACAGAGCATTGTAACATGCCTTCTGGGACTGGGAGGCCTCAGGCACCCCAACCTGGGTACCGCCACAGGGCCCACACAAAGCCTGCTCCTGCTGGCACCCAAAACAGCCAGGTAGCCACCCAGATCTTTCACTCGTTTGCTCATGTGCTCCCTCCTGCAAGAGTTTGAGCGCAGCAGGCCGATCAAATGGGACACCTCTGTCGCAAGTCCAGTGAAGGGGCTGAGAAAAACTGCATGCCTAGCACTCCTCCAAGCCTAAGGCCTCTGTGTGCAGGGAAGCAGAACCAACCGGGAATTTCTATACCATTCACAGTGGGCTTCAGAAGTCGTATGCTGTAGTCAAAGTTTCAGGCCATTTGAATACATTCAATTCATATACACTTGAAAAAAATATTTCCCAAAGGCTGACTATGCTTGGCACCTGCTCTGAGAAACCCAATCCTGACACTCAGGAATAGAGGGGTGAGCTCCAAGACGCATCACAACAATGTAACCAAGCCCAGCAGAATGAACAGAACCTGGAGAAAATGCCTGGCCTGCACTGCGGGAGTCCTGGCATTCAGTAGATTACAACAACCATGGGCCGGGCGCGGTGGCTCACGCCTGTAATCCCAGCACTTTGGGAGGCCGAGGCAGGTGGATCATGAGGTCAAGAGATCGAGCCCATCCTGGTCAACAGGGTGAAACCCCGTCTCTACTAAAAAAAATATATATAAAAAATTAGCTGGGCATGGTGGCGCATGCCTGTAATCCCAGCTACTCAGGAGGCTAAGGCAGGAGAATTGCCTGAACCCAGGAGGTGGAGGTTGCAGTGAGCCAAGATGGCGCCATTGCACTCCAGCCCGGGTAACAAGAGCGAAACTCCGTCTCAAAAAAAAAAAAACCATGAAATATTTGCACGCGGTTTTTTGGTAGCTTACAAAAGAAATTACCTGTTTTGATTTCCCCTTTTCTGCGCATTTTGCTTTTTTGTCTTCTGAGACCTTCCAATGTACCTGTTGGGAAGAGTCCATTTCAGTGCATATTATTTTAAAGAGATACTAGCATTAAAATGCACAATTTAAAAAACATATTTGACTTTAGAGCCTAGAGGTTTCCCAGAGATGATCAATTCTCAGACTGCAAGGGAGGCTCAGAGAGCAGGGGAACAGCCTGGGGCCTTCGTGAACATCCTCACTGTGATCCTTATCCTGAAACAAGTGGAATCTGGAAGACCAGCTCCCAAATTTCCATCATACACCACAAAACAGCAACAAAAATCAAACTACTGAAAGTGGAGAAAACTAAATTATTTGTCAAATACCTAAACCGTAAGTATTTTCATACATCAAAGTGGGCTTTTTTGCATCCATTCAAAGTGACTCTACAGGCCAGGCATGGTGGCTCACACCTGTGATCCCAGCACTTTGGGATGCTGAGACAGGAGGATCATCTGAGGTCAGGAGTTCGAGAGCAGCCTGGCCAACATGGTGAAACCCTGTCTTTACTAAAAACACAAAAATTAGCTTGGCATGGTGGCGCATGCCTGTCATCTCAGCTACTTGGGAGGCTGAGGCAGAAGAATCTCTTGAACCCAGGAGACAGGTTACAGTGAGCCGAGACCATGCCACTGCACTCCAGCCTGGGCAACAGAGCAAGACTCTGCCTCAAAAAAAAAAAAAAAAGTAACTCTGCAGTCTAGGTTTTTTTTCTCTGTTTGTTTGTTTTAAAGCCTCAATATTCACTGTATCAGTGGAAAGAATTACAGTTCCTTAAACTTGCATGTCAGTAGCAGGAGGAAGTGACGAAGTAACACCACCAGCTCAGCTCAGACACCGTCTTAGTTAAGATCCACGTTCCCACCACCTCTTCTTTCAAACCAGGGATGATTCGTGATCAGAAACTGTCAGGGGGTGAGGACCTTAGCCCCTTACCCTCCAAAGCCCCCACAGGATAGAAAGCAACAGAAGATAAAAGGGAAAGAACAGACGCTTCTATACCTATCCCTGACTTACCTTCCTCAAAATGCCCCATCTCTCTCCATGACGCTCCATAACTCATACGAAAGAAACCAGTAACAACACATTGTCCTCCACCCAGAGGCTTGTAGTGGGTGTCAGGGGTCAGAGGCTAGAAGCACACAGGGCTTCTAGGAGGGAGAGTGTGAGGAGGGGAGCCCCACTCTAGGTGTCTAGCTAACTCAGTGGGTTCCTGCACAGCACCCAGGCAGCAGACACAGTACCAAGGGAATGTCTTTTCATGGAAATGGAAGTCCTGATCAGGACACACAAAAGCAGAACAGAGTGTCATTTAAAATAGCAACTTCCTTCAGCATTTAAAGTACAGATGATTTCATCCACTTGCATTAAGGGACAAGGGAACGTGCTCTTCAACGGGCCCTTGATGACGATTTTCACAGATGCTTGGCTGGGGTGCCTTTATTTTTTAAGTTTAAAAGGTCCCCAAGCCTCTCCCCGACCCCGAGGGGCCACCATGGTGTCATTCACAGAGCAATGGCTGGCTCCCACTGACCACCTGTGGGGCCAGCACAAACATACTGTCCACAATTCCCGCAGGACGGCGTGGTCAGAAAGGCGCTCGGAGGAGGAGAATTTAACAGACACGCCAAGAGTAAGAGCTGAGTAAGGTGAGACCACCACATCCTTCTGCTCAGAGTGCCTCACAGTGCTAAATGCTTGGTTTTTGTTTTTTGAGACAAAGTCTCGCTCTCTTGCCCAGGCTGGACTGCAGTGGCATGATCTCGGCTCACTGCACCGTCGACCTCCTGGGCTCAAGTGATCCTCCTGCTGCCTCAGACACCCAAGACCTGAGCCACCACACCTGGCTATTTTTTGTAGAGACGGGGTTTCGCCATGTTGTGCAGGCTCGTCTCGAACTCCTGAGCTCAAGCAATCCACCTACTACGGCTTCCAGTGTTGGAAATACATGCGTGAGCCACTGCACCCAGCTGAATACTTAGTTTTCAGAGCATAATGCTCAGAAGCCCATTTATGTGTCAAACCGAAATTGAGAAATCAGCTGGACCCTTGAGATGAAAACAAAAAGAGATCCGGGCGGAAAATGTCCAACATGAACCTGGAACAGATTCCAGAGAGAAAGGAAACTACCCCACACCGCAAGGTCTCAGGAGCCAACCCACGCAGGCTGCTGTTGGCCGTGGATCTGACCATTTGAGCATGCGGTAGGGCTTTCACTGTGATGGGTCAAAGCACAGCAAATATGTTTAGATCCATGAGTTCACTGTGACACTAAAAATCAATTTAAAAAACTCACTCTTGTCCTTTAGAGGGGAAACTGACTCGTTAACTCATTAGTCTGAAAACCGGTAAACAAAGGCAAAGATTCCAAGCATCGAGTCTGCATTTCCCAAAGGAACCGGGACCTCTATGGACCAAAAGAGCTGGTGATGGGCATTTCCCCTTGTATACGATTTCCAGCTAACAAGTGGAAGAAGAGGGGTAGAATCAGAACATGTGTTTAGCAATCTTTGATGAGAAGAGTGTCTAGACTTCAATGGTGAAAGGCCACTGAGGTTCAGGAGGAGTAACACCTGCCTCCATGGACAAGCCCCCCCACTCACGGCCCCAAGTGTGGTGAGCCTGGACCTGATACCCAGCTGGGGATGTGAAGACAGAGACGTATGCTAAAGACACCGTGAATGGAGCTGGGTGTGGCGAACGTGCTTACAGTCCCAGCTACTCAGGAGGCTGAGACAGGAGGATCGCTTGAGCCCAGGAACTTGAGGCTGCAGTGAGCTACAATCAAATTTTAAACTTGATTTGATTTTTTAAAATGTTTAAAGACACTGTGGTGACTCAAAAGCAGTGTGAAGGCTGGGACACAGGATGGGCTGCACAGAGTGGCTTTCTGAGGAAGGAAACCGAGGCTGGCTCCTAGGAGGGGAGACTGAACGGACAGCGTGACCAGTTGCGATGGACGGGAACAGCCTGGTTGCAACCCGATTCAGACTAAACGTTTGATCTGAACAAGCTAAACAAGCATCATCTACGAAAGAGTCAGTGAAATCTGAACACTGGCTGAATGTATGACGACGTAAATTTTGGAGACGCTATTTTTGGTCATCTGCACGACAAGCAGCCCTCTTCAGTAAGAGATGCCCAGATGAAGAATGTGGTGTCGGGTCTGCCTCAATGCCCCAGGAGGTGGGCGGGCACTGTGGGCAGCACTGACCACCTGGCCTTGCATAAGCTGCAGTGGGTACGGGGCTCATGGCACAGCTGACTCTACTCATAGGTATGTTCGAGATTTTTTTCATAATAAAAAGTTCAAAAACAAAAAATGAAAAGAGGGTGGTCCCTGGGTGAGCTGCTGGTGGACACCCAAAGACGGCGCTGCACGGTGGCAGCTACAGGACAGAAGCTCCAGGTGAGTCAGCCCTCAGCCCTGCAGTGGGGCCAAGACAGGCTCCCCACTCAAGCCGGGCTGTGTGAACACACAGGGGAGCCCAGGACGTACCTCGTGCTGCTTCTCAGAGACGTTGAGTGCGTTCACAGCGAAGATCGCCTCCCGGGCGCCTATGTACAAGGTGTCCTGGTCCTCGCTCAGCAGCAAGGCTGAATAGTTGTAGATGTCTGGCTCGTGAAACTGCAAGAGATGCACCTCTGTGGAATGCAAGGGCAGGGTCAGAGTGGGAGGAAGAGACAAGCAACGGAAGCATTTTTAAGCCAGGGCACATCCTGGGTCCCTGCGTCAGTGCCAATGAGCACATCGGGGTGCAGTCATATCTCAAGGGCCGTGCGTTGCTGCAACAGGCATTGCTGCAATGGAGGCTGGCCTCAGTCAATGGCAGACCCACAATGTGGCCAGCAAGTGTGAACATGGGACCCACTCACCGCCCTAAAGCTCGAGCCAGGAGCTGGTGTGCTCACTTTGAGGCTATGAGTTGGACGTCTCTTCCGGCTCCCTTGGATCCGACAGAGTCCCAAACCCTGCTCTGCCAGATGCTTCCTGTGACAGCTCCCACCCTCTGCTCACCTGGCTCTGGTCTACATGCCTTTAGTCATCCACAGACTAGGTGTACAGAGAATATAATGGTTTAGGATTTTCTTTTTCAGAAAAAGAATGTTTTACTTCAAAATCTTTACAAAATTGATTTTGGAGAATATATCCATCAACCCATGCAATTCTTAGTGACCACCGCCACAAACGTACAGACCAGAGAAACAAGTGACATCTCTTTGCTTATTAGGTTACTGTATCGACAGCTACTTAGGAATATGAAGACTTGAGCAATAGCTGCTTAAGAACAATATAAATGTAGCAGCATTACATTTTTAGGAACTGTTTCTTCTTTTCAACCATCCTGGCATCAATCTGAGCATGATGACCTTGGTTTTTGCATACTGCCAAGAGTCTGCCTTATTTAAGAGTCAGGTGGTCCAGGTGTGGTGTTGGGTGCCTGTAACCCCAGCACTTTGGGAGGCCAAGGTGGGAGGATTTCTTGAGTCCAGGAGATCGAGCCTGCAGTAAGCTATGATTGCCCCACCGCACTCTAGCCTGGGCAAAAGAGCCAGATCCTGACTTCAAGAAAATACAGAGTCAGGTGTTCATGCTTTCTGTTCTAAGTTTTCAGTGTGAAATGGAGATGTACACAGGCAGGTTTTCTCCTGGCACAACAACAGCCTATAATGCTGATAACTCTCAGCCACCTGCAAGCAACACCTTGCTCAAGACCCAGGGAGTGAGCTCTCAATTCACTGAGCCAGAAACCCAGGTCCCCAGACACATCCCTGAAGAGAAGAAATAACTAAAACAAAAAACTAAATAGCAGCAAAGCAGAGCAGCTGGCATGAGACTCAGCTGCACGTAGGACCAGCGTCCTCACGGTGCCTCGCAGTTCTCAGGTGCCTGGGGCAGACGCTCCGAGGGGTGGGTGCTTCAGCAGCACGCCTCAGACATCACCAGGTATGAGGGAGGGAAGCTTCCTGTCAGGGGTCCCCAAATTCAGAAAACAAATCAGGAGGTCCGCACGAGGCCTGCTGAGTATCTACAGCTGTCAACAGCCTCTTCTTAGATCAGCTGCGTAGGCCTGCCTGCTTAGACAGAAGTTCTCAGGGTAGAGAATGCAACAGATCACACGGCAGCGTCCTCAGCCACCTGCCTCAGCATCCCAGGCAGCAGGGTCACCATCTCATCCTCAGCCACCTGCCTCAGCATCCCAGGAAGGAGAGTTCCTGTCCCATTCCCCAGTCACCCACCTCAGCATCCCAGGCAGTGGGGTCCCCCCATCCATCCCCAGCTACCCATCTCAACCTCCCAGGAAGTGGAGTTCCCATCCTGTCCCCAGCCACTTGCCTCAGCATCTCAGGAAGTGGGGTCCCTGTCCCATCCCCAGCCACCCACCTCAGCACCCCAGGGAGTGAGGTCCCCATCCCACGCCATCAGTATCCCTGCAGGCTTTACTGCTCACCTCTGTGCTCCCAGGTGATCCGGGGCATGGGTGCAAACGCCATCGCTGTCCCAAACACCACTGCAAGGGCCGTGAGCAGCCCCCTAATGGGGCAGCGCATCTTCATCAGGTAGGGGCAGCCCCAGGGCCTCCAGCCACAAAGGCTCACGGCAGCAAGTGGCCAGGCAAGTGTGCTATTGCGGACGCGGCTCAGCGCCCCAGGACCAGGGCCAACAGCACAGCCTGGAGCTGGTGAGCGATGAGGTCCCTGAGAATCCACATCTCCCAGTTCTCCAGGTGAAGAGGGGCCGCTCTCACCACTACAATGTCAAAGCCCCCTTGATACTTCTTTAGGGCCTCAAGAAATGCTGGAAGGAAATGAGAAAGAAGAATCAGGACCTGTGGTGGGCGACGACCTGCTTCTCACTGCCCTACAGCCCCTCTGCCTGCCCTGGGTCCCCACCTGGGTCCATCTGCTGAGGAACAGGGAGGGTGGCAGGGGAAAAGAGTGGACGGCCCACATGGATGCAGGAAAGCAAGGCCAGGGTCTTCGGGAATCAGTGCTTCCCACTCCTCCAGCGCCCAGCCCAGAATGCAGGAGACACACGGAGGGGTCCTAAGCGTGGTGTGGGGCACCTGGCAGACACACACAGCCGCTGGCTGCCCAGCTTCCTTCCTGTGTGGCTGCTGTGTCCAGCTGGTAACGAGATGAAACTGAAGGAACTCCAGTTTCAGTTTCCCTTCGAGACTCTGCCTTTGTAATGCTCAGTGAGGAAACAGCCAGAAAAACTAGAGGCTCCAGAGAGAGCTACGATGTACCTGTGAGTGCACACACAGGCACAGATGGACACCTGTACAAACACACACACGTGAGGCCTTAGCACCACGCAGGACTGTCTGACCTCTGCCCCAAACGGGACCCTGCTAGCTCTTCCGGTCTCACCTAAAGAAGTCTGTGCCTCATAGAAACGACGCTAACTCACTCTGGTTTGCCCAGTAAGAAGCAGCCCTTAGTTCTCTTGAACAGGCTTAATGCTGCCGAGTGAAATTGCGGGGCTGGCGGTGGGGGGAGGTGTGCACAGGCCTTCCGGCCCCAGCATCCTCTGATGACTGCATACTGTCCTGGTGTACCCCACAGCCTAACCCGCCACAGGACTGGCCCAAGGGGCTCTAGCACCTTGATCCGGGGCCAGCTGCTCCAGGTTCACTCTGTGAGAATGTCCTGAGCTGGGCACCCAGTGATTGGGCACTTTAACATTATACTTCTGTAAAAAGTTCACTGAAAACAGCAATCTGGGATCCCTGAGTCCCTCGCTCCCGCTTCTATCCAGGAGTCCTGTGGGGGTCATGGAACAACCACACCCCTGAGCTCCAGACTCCAGAACCCCACTCTACGCCACCACCTCCACATGCGACCTTCCACACCCCAGCCAGACACAGCTGAAACGGAACCTCACTCTGCTTCCAGACAATTCCTATAGTCCACGTCCCCCACGTAAAAACAGCGCCAGCAGTCAGGGGCCGACGCCATCTACCTCTAACCCCACCCCCACTCCTTAGATGGTGCTGCTGCCCGGCCTCAAATACACCTGGGGCTTGTCTCCTGCTGCTCATCTCCACCACCACGCAGATCTGAGCGATGCTCCCCTCTCATCCTGGCCTCTCCAACAGCCTCCTACTCCCTTCCTCTGCTTTTGCTCTTGCTTCTGTGGTAGAGATCACTGGCTTCCTGCCCCAGCAACCATGTTCCTGCATTTTCGCTAACCAAATCCCGAGGTTACTTGGGTTGGCAGTGTGCCCAGCTCACTACATCTCCCAGCTTCTCTGGTGGCAGTTCTGGCCAAAGAATTGTAAGTGTAATTTATTAGATGGCAATTCCAGGAAAGCTCTTTAAAAGAGGCTGATTCACCTAGCAATTCCATCGGTCCTTCCTCCTATTGCTGCCTGGAACTAGAATTTGATGGCTGGAGCTCTGGCAGCCATCCTGTGACCAAGAAGATAAGAGTCTCATTCTACAAATGGCCAGTGGAAACCCACAAGAGCCTGTGAGACCCTGATAACATAATGGAGACTTGGTACTTGCTTTCTGCTGTCATTTGTTAGCAAATCTGTTAAGTCCCAGCCCAGCGAAACCCAATGAACTGACATTGGCTCTATTCAGACTTGCTAATAAAAGTGTTAATCTCTTTAAATGACTTGTTTGCAGATTTTTGTTACCAACAATCTCCCTCCAATCCACTGCTAATGCTGTTATCATAAATCAAGTTGTATCATTTCCCGATGTGAAATGTTTCAACACCACCTCATCACTCAGAGTAAGGCCCACATTTTTCATCATGGCCAGCAGGGCCATCGACAACCCTACTCCACCTCCACCCACCTCTCCTCGTCCACGCTCCCCGCCCTGCACTGTCGTGGCTGCACCTGAACACACAGGGCTCGGCCCCTCTGCGAGGCTGTGTTAACGGTTGTCTCTGCTGCCTGTCAACACCATTTAGAACATTTCCAGATGTGTCTGCTCTGAAGTCACCGGTCTAAATCTCACCGCACAGTCTCATTCATCTATCTAAGAGGCTTTTCCTCTGTATGACTGATCGGTAATTAGCAATGGCTCCCAAAAGTTGCTCTGCTTTGAGCTCCCAAACCAGTAATGCTTTCTACACAGGCTCCCACTGAAGAAAACTCAATAAATTATAGGTTCAAGTCTTCTGAATTACAGGCACAATTGCGGTTCCTTGCCATAATGGTGACTCTCTTTGTCTGTAAAACAGAAGTAGACCCACCTGGCCTACGAAGTTGTTCCGAGAATGAATATTAATATATAATGAATATATAATAAATCATTTCGCATCTGATAACAATAACGTTTATTACTCTGACAAATACAAATGGAGCTCCTGCTCTGAACAAACCAGCCCTGGCCCCATGGAACCCACACCCTAGAGTAGGGCTGCGTGGAAGCAACCAGCCCTGGGTCGGGCACCCAGAAACATCCCATCGCCCTGCAGGGTCCACTGCCCTGGCTCTTCTTGGTTCTCATGGATGCAGTGACAGACACAGGAAAGGAGGGTTCACAGTGGTGACAAGCAGTCCCTCAAGAGAAAAGCTCCCGTTAAAAACTGTCTACCCCTCCTTTTGGACCAATGGTCTCCTGGCATTTTAGGTGTGTGTTCTTTCTCCCATTCCATGTGACAGATGTCACACCGCCAGTGAGAGCCAGAAGTGACAACGTGGCCACACTGCCCCATCCCTTCCAGCAAAAGAGAACTGCACACTCAAACAGTGGGAGACTTCACGCTGGCTCCCGTGCCACCAGAGGAGGAAGAGGAGCGAGAGGAGGCTGGCCTCCAGCAGGCAGGGCCTCAGAGAGGGTTCTAGTCCTGCACGCAGCAAGGACACCAGTGGCCTGGTCCAAGTGCTGCAGTCACCGCACAGTGGAGCCCAATGCACTGACATTGGCTCCTCCAAGGCACACCCAGCTCCAGGTCCCAGCCGAAGCCAAGCCGTCCACAGCAAGGACACAGCAGAAGCAACCCCCCCCCGGGGCGTGTCCCCCAGCTGGACAAAGGTCCACCCACGCTAAAGAAACGGCGATGAGCTGCCATGGGATGGGAGAAGGTGCTCTGAAGACAGACGCAGAGCCTGCAAAGATAAAACCTGCAGCCACACAGGAAGTGAGTGAGGGCAGCCCAGGGGCAGGCGAGTGGACACACAAACCACTACATCCAGACAGGGGAATGTTACCCAGCATGAAAAATAAATGAGCCGTTAAGCCAGGAGAAGTTCCTCCCTGGAGGAAAAAGCTTATCATTAAAGTGAAAGAAGCCAAGCTCTAAAAGTACCTACTGCATGATTCCGCCTATAGGACATGCTGGGAAAGGCAAAACCGTGAAGACGGTAAAGAGATCCGGTGGTTCCCAGGGACTATGTGGAGAGAGGGATGAGGAAGTGGAACACAGCATTTTCAGGGCAGGAAAACTACTCTGGCAGGGATACTACCATGGTGGACACATGTCAGTTATGCATTTGTCCAAGCCTACAGAACATACACCACCGACTGGCAAGCCTAATGTCCAGTACAGGTGTGGGGTGCCGAGACATCTGTGCAGGTTCAGTGACTGTAGCAAAGCTGTGCATGTGGGGGAAGGCGCGTATGGGAAATCTCTGTACCTTCTTCTCAATTTTTCTACGCACCTGAAACTGCTCTGAAAAATAAAGTCTATTAAAATCAGTAACAACGAGGAATGGTCCTAGGAGTTCCTTGCCAGTCACAAAGGAAGCCTCTGTGAGGGTTCATGGCATGGACACACAAAGGAGGTGAATGCCCACACCAGGGGGCTGCGAGCAGAGATGCAAGGCCCACAGGGCTTGGCTCATTTAGGGTCAAATACCAAAGATGCTGGGTCCCCGTTGGGGGGATATGGTTTGCAGAGGATCTAATTCTTACCTACGTCCCCAACTGCAGTCAGTCCTCTCGGCGTCCCAGTAAGCAGGCTGCGGTCAGCCCAGGCTGAGTCCAGAGCCAGGAGAGAATTTCTCTCTTTGGAAACTGGTATCTGGAACAGAGATTTATCTCAACTCTCTCTGGAAACCCAGTGAAATGACTCTAAAAGGATATGAACTTTAAGGATAAAAATGGAAGAAGGAGGTGACTTGGGAATCTATTAATAGGTAAGTAGTAACCAATGGTGTACTGGCAAACAGTAACAACAGGGTGGGTGGGGGGTGTGGGGGTGTGGAGAGTCAGGCGAGCGGTGGGGGTGGGGGTGCCCGGCTTGCAGCACACGCCGGTTTCCGTGGTGTAAATGCTGCTTTCGAGCTCCCAGCATGACGTCGCTGAGCTGGGGCGAGGGGCAGAGAAGCACCCAGCACACGGCACTGCCACTCGGATACAAGAGGCGAGTGACCACAGCCACGCAGATAGCAGCAGCATGCACACAATACTAGAAGGGAATGCGTTCTGAGTATTTCACCTTTTAAAATACAATTTGTTTCACTTTAAGTCCATGTATTTAATTTTGAACAGTGGCTGTGCTGACCCCCAGCTCTCTCACACACCACGGGTGCTGTTTTGATTTCCAGACCAGAGTTGAGCCAGGGCCTGGAAGAAGTCACAAACAAACACAGTCTGGAAAATGGAAGCAAGAGCTTAAAAGTGAAAATGTGATGAAAGAAATGAAAGGCGGGGAAAGTAAACTAACAAGGTTTCCTAGAAGTTAACTACGTAGCCGCGATGAAAAAACGGTGAACAGACAACTGGAGGATCCATTCAGGAGTCCCACACGGAACTGGCAGGAAGTCTGGACAAAACAAGAGGAATAAAGCAGTAATAAAAAGAAAATATCTAGAACAGAATGAGCTTTCAGAATGACCGCGCCCAGGAGCACAGTGAATGAAAATCCGCCCACACCCGACACATCACACGGAAATACGAGAATCCTAAGAGATCAAAGGAAGACACGAGGCTCCCAGAAAGAAACAGGCCACAATGAAATTACCTCTGAGTGCCCCACTGGAGGCTGCAAAGCAATGCCTTTGAATCCCAGGGAAGATGACTTCATAGCTAGAATTCCTCATCCAGTCAAATTTTCAACCAGCATGAGTGCGTGCAGAACATTGCTTCAAACCTACACGTTCTCAAATGTTTTACCTCCCTCAGATTCTTTTTCAGAAAGCTACTGCAGGATTCGCTCCACCAAAACAAGGGAGCTGCTTCCCAGGTCTTCTTTCTTAGGAAGTGAGTCGAGGAGAGGCAGAGAAAGCGGGGGCTGGGGAGCAGGCAGAGGCTCCAACGGGGCGGAGCAGGAGAAGCCACGATGGATTACCGATTGCATCTGTGGCTTTGTTCTCAGAAATGCGTTTTCAGGCTCTTACAGAGTCTGAAGATGAATTAGAACTGATACACAGATTAGAAAATGAAGGAGTTATTAACCCCAGGGGGGGCAAGAGTGCCCTATGAACGGAAACGTAACCAGAGTGTACTTATCACTGTGCAGTTGCCCAGCCCCCCGTAAGAAAAATTACAACTAACTCCATTGGGGGTCTGGGGGAAGAAGAGAGGAAGGGGAGGGGACAAGGGTCAGAGAACACAATCCTGTCTTCCATCATAATACACCATCTGAGATGGAAAAGCCAAGAAACGTAGGTGTGTCTAGTTTGAAGGAATATACCAAATGGCTAAAATAGTTGAAACGCACTGTCTCAGGGCAGCAGGGAAGGGACAAAGGAACAGACAAGCAAGTGCTGCTGCTTCTCTCAAATTAAGTAAGAACGATTTCACTACATGCATTAATTACTTTCATAAAATGAATTAACCTTAAAAAGACATCCATGTTCTGTCCTCGCAGCCTGGGGACAGCAGCCCAGCGGCTCCAGAAGCAGAAGACAGAACCCCCTGAAGGTAGGCTCTCAAGGACGGGAAGAGTGAGCTGCCTCTGTGCAGAGCCTGGGTCGCGAGAGCGGCCACATCTGGGGGCTCAAACGCATTGTAAAAATAGGATTGTTCCCCGCAAAGCCGAGTGCTGGGCAGTGGCATAGGATTTAACGCAGAATGCCGGCTCCTAGTGTGGCCAGTCCCCCCCGACTCCACCCCACCCCTCCCAGGCTGCCACGAAGACTTGGTGCTTGCTGCTCCTGCTTCCAGACTGTTCTTCCCCCAGGAGCTGCTGGCAGCTGGCTCCATCCCACAGTCACTCTTCTCTCCTGACCCCCACACTCTACTGTTTTCATAGTACTTGGCCCAAGGACCTGAAAATGCCTCCCTGACCTAGCTGGGGCAGAACAGGAGACACACAAACATCCCAGTGAGAAGACTGGGGCCAGACCTGGAGAGGACGAAGGTAAGCTGCCAAGAGTGGAAAGTTCCACAAAACAAAATCACCAGTGAAGAGACATTTAAAACAAATCTTGCCATAGTATCCACAACCAAACCCAGGGATGGCTAAGCCATCCCTGAATGAATGAATGTGCCTGAGAGAAGGTATTCCAGAAATGTCAGCAGGTGCCCCTGTGGAAGCCAGCAGGTTCTGTCTCCTGGGTGGCTTTAAATGGTTACAAAGGACTGTCAGGACTGGGGTCATTTATGTGGTTACTCAGACTGGTTATGTTGAAAGGAAAAAATCTTTTTCTTTTCCAGACGCTGCCATGTAGGAGCTCAGCAGGGCATGGACACACCCACCTGGCTTCCAGACGCTGCCCTGAGAACAGTGACTGACACCAGGCTTCCTGGCATGGATTTCTATCCAGGTCTGCAGCGTACTGACCTCATCAGCAGACACCAGATTCTCGATGGCCTAGATCAGACCCAGCTGCTCTTCTCAAATGGCCTTTAAAACCATCCACATGAGTAGCCAAAGGTCAGGATAGAAGGTCCACACCACACACTCCTCCTCCTGGGGAGGGGGAGGGGCTCAGCATTTTCTTTGTGACATTGAAGGGGTTTGATTATTTTCTCCTTTTTCAACAAAATGCATTGTTTCATATAATTTAGAAACTGCTTTAAGCAAAGCACACACCACACTCACACAGATCTGCCAGCCCCGCGAGTTCTTTCAGAACAGTGGCTCCATAATCACTGATGGGTGTTACATTAAAGACCTCACTCTAAATTGTTAAATTAAAACAAAAGGAGAAAAAGCCCATTTTGCTGGCTCTCTTCACCATTTCTGAGAAGCAATGGCATCCTGCTGGGAGCTGAGCCGTATGCATGTGCATTTTGCCCTGACAGTGTGAAATTGCTGCCCTTCGCATTCAGAAAGAACGACTTGACACAGAAGCCCATTAGAAAGACAGGGTTATGAAATGTCACTCCCATTACTTACATGTAATTGGGCTGTTCATGAGGGTGCACGAGCCCACTTTAAATGTCAGCAGAAAGGAACTCCGAGGGGGCTCTGAGCCCCACACTCCTGCTTGTCAGCGCTTGTCAGATGGCAGCTCTCCCACCCCCAGGGGACTTCAAATCAAGGGAGGAGGTCACAGCAGAGAAAATGGGAGTACCCAGCAACCACTGTGCATATATGTCTGTGTGGGTGTACACATACGTGGATGCTTATACGTCTGTGTGTATGCATCTGTTCGTGCGCATGCATGCGCATCTGTATTTCTGCATGTGTGTACATGAACACACAGAGATATGTGCACCTATCCATGTCTGTACATTTGTATACATCTGTGCAGGTGTGTTCTGCACATGTGTACGTCTGTGTGTCTGCACATGCATACACATATACGCATCTGTGTGTGCATATGCATCTGCTTGAATCTCTGCATGTGTGTACATGTGTATGTCCGCACATGCATGTGTATGCCTGTGTGCATACATATGTACACCTGTGTGTGCATGTGCATCTGTGTAAGTGGGTGCATAATGTATGTGTGCATGTTTGTGTACACAGCAGTATGCACACATACATGCATCTGTGTACGCAGACATGCATGTGTGCATCTATATGTGCATGTGTGTGTACGTGTATCTGCGCATGTGTCACCGCTGCAGCACACACATTCTGACCACTGCCAAATGCCCTGTAAGGCAAAGACCATGGACCAAAAAGCCATCTGGGGACTGTCCAACCACCCATGTCTCGGCTCCCTCCTGGGATCAGCTGTCTGGCAGCTAGGGCGGAGAGGGGACACCAGTCACTACCACACAGAAGGTGTCAGTGCTTCTGCCAGCAACAGGATGTAACACTGGCATTAAAATGCCCTGGCTCGTGTCCCAGGGAAACTGAAAAAGGATCTCTAGTGACAGCTGTGGACTGGCCAATCTAACATAGGCAGTCATTACCTGGACCCCTGAGCTCACTGCAAACGCCGCCTGGGGAGGCGTGTTCTGGCTTATTTCTTATCTCAGGGGTTTGTCCAGATGGGGCAGGTAAAGCTTAGAGCCTCTCCAGGCCCTGCAACGAGGACAGTGGAGAACAAGCACTTACCACATCTCCCCCCAGCTGGAAGCAGGCGGCCAAGTGCTAAGGAACACAAGACACCGCTGCCCTCCCCAACCATGCCCTGCCAGTGCCCAGCCACCCAGCATCCCTACCCTGGGATGTCCTCTGCCCCCAGAAACCCCTCTCCCACCTCCAGTTAGGGTGCTGATGTCACCACCCTGCAAACTGAGGATAAAAATGGCCTTATCCCATCAGGAATCAGGAATGGGTTTCAGGAGCTGCTCAGGTCACAAGCGTAACAAACAGCTTATTGTTCCAACTTCAGTTTTCCTAGACTTTAAAATGGATCCCTGGAGGCCAGCGCTCCAGCTCTGCAGGGACATGCTTAGCCCCGGACCTGTGCTGGGCTGGACACACCCAGCAGGGCAGCTGCCAGGTCCGGTCCACTTCATCCTCAAGCCACATCCCTGCAGGGGCAAGCAAGCCACAGCCAGAATGTCTCAGACACACTCTAACCTCACCCACTTCCCAAAGCCCTGGGTGCAGCATGTACAGAACGGGAAACCCAGGAAGAGAGGGCAGCGGGAGTGAAGGACACATGCTATAAGGATGCGTACCGAGTGGCAGCAGGAACAGGGCCCTTCAGAGGAAGAGTGGGGACCCCTCTAAGCAGCAGCCGCCATGGCAGAGATGCAGACTATCATGCCACTTGTGCAACCTCACTCTACTCTTCTGACTCGGATACAGACAATACTGTCTTCTCTGGAGGGTGTGTGGTGTGTGCACACGTCCTTGGGCCCAAACAGGTTAGTGCTAGCAGAAATAAAATCATCATCTTCCACTGGCCTAATGTTGACCTGCTGCCACCTCCAGGGGAGCCAACCGTCTCCCTACTGGACCTGGCTCCCGGGGAAAGTGTGGGGTACTGGAAAGTGGTTGGCCAGCCCCTCAGGGAGGACTGTGTTCACCCTGCAGCACTAAAGGGATGCCTGGGGTCATGTCTTTCAAAGGTGATACTATGGTCTGAATGTCTGTATTACCCCTAAATTCAGATGTTGAAATCCTAACCACCAATGTGATGGTTTCTGGAGAGGGAGCCTTTGGGAGGTGACTGGGACAGGAGGGCGGAGTCTTCATGAATGGGATTAGTGGCTCATCAGTCTACAGTCTCTGAGTCCCAGAGAGCTCCCTCACCCCTCAACCATGTGAGAAGACGCTGGCTATGAACCAGGAGGAGGGCCTTCGCCAGACACCAAACCTGCCAGCACTTTGATCTTGGACTTCCAAGCCTCCAGAATGGAGAAATAAATGTCTGTTTTTATGTCACCCAGTCTGTGACATTTTCTTTGAGCAGCCTGAGCTGACTGAGACAGTGCCAATTCAGGGGCCACTGGCACCCAGCAGAGCTCAGCACCAGATATAACACAGCCGGCAGAGATGCTTCAGAATGCCAAAGGTCACCATTTACACTGCGAGGGCCTTTGATATGACACTAAAACTGGTGCTTCAGTCCCCAGAGCTTGACCTGCAAGGAGGGCAGAACTACACAAAAGATATATATAGAAGGGTTTTGCTTTAAGTGGACTTTATTTGTATTCTTAATTTTCCACCTGTCTTATAAAACTTTCCTACCTTCAGAAATACCTCCGCCAGGCATGGTGGCTCATGTCTGTAATCCCAGCACTTCGGGACGCCAAGGCGGGTGAATCACAAGGTCAGGAGTTTGAGACCAGCCTGGCCAACATGGTGAAACCCCGTCTCTACTAAAAATACCAAAAATTAGCTGGGCATGGTGGTGGGCACCTGTAATCCCAGCCACTTGGAAGGATGAGGCAGGAGATTTGCTTGTACCTGTGAGGCGGAGGTGAGATCGTCTCAGCAGTGAGCTGAGATCATGCCACTGCACTCCAGTCTGGGAGACAGTGCGAGACTCCGTCCTCCAATACATAAACAAATAAATAAAAATAAAATAAAAAATAACTCCAGCAGGCTGCCTAACTCCACAAAACAAATGTAAATTAAAATAAAATACCCATTTATTTATTGTCCACAAAGCAGGCTAAAATTTCAAAGTCTGCTGCTAGCCAGTACTGGGAAGGTGTGGCGTAAAGGACTTTTGGGGGCAATTCTGAGCTATCCAGATGTCTGCACACACTGACCCCCTGGCAAATCCTGGGCAGCAGTCCTACAGACAAACAGTGTGTGCACAGCTGCAGGCCTGCAAAACGACGTGTGGGAGAACCACCCTGCCGTGCTGCGACGGTAACATGTGCCACCAGAGGGGATGCTCCTCAATGAGGGGCTGGTTAACAGGCAGGCCAGGAAGACAGCACCGTTAGAGAGACTAAAGCCGGTCTACACCGACTGCCTGTGAGTGCAGCACACACCAAAGACAGGTGCAGAGCAACAACACACCAGGCACAACCCACCTGTGTCAACAGAGGATGCGTCCGTCTACACACAAACCACACACACACACACACACACACACACAGCCACGGACACACATAAACACGCACAAACACCAGACACAGAGTCACAAGAACACACACAAGAACACGCAGATGCATACACATGAACGTGGACAGACAGCCAACTGGTGACAGTGGTCACTTCTAAGGAGGAAGAAGACAACAGCCAGGAAACTCAATTTTGCTTTGTTTTTTAAAAAATGATTCATACTTTTGTATCGCTTCTGTAAAAACATTTAATTCATTAAGAGACTATGTTTCACCCATGCTATACCCATCAGCAGACCAATAATTGAAGCCCGTCACGTTAATGTGTGCGGCTGTGTGTAACGTGATTTTTCACATGCTAAGCCATTTCTTGGCTTGAGTACCTATTTCTTGCCATACCTTTGACCCTTTTTAATTTGCATGAAAAATGAGAAGCGGCTTCTTTTCCCCATATATACTTCATGGTTTTTGTGACAGCAAAGTAAAAATTAACAGAAGGAGCTAGTCCTCCTGGGCTCTCACGCTGGAACTCTATTATTACTTAATACAGCACAGAGTAGATAAAATTGTCTGTGCTTTCAATTACCTTATAGCTAAAGATTCCAAAATGTTTTTAAATGAAGAGATTAACAAAGAGCAAAACTCAAAGACAAGTGACTTAAGGAAGGAAAAAAAACCTAACAAAAAATACTTGTAACACACAAGTGTCAATTCCTAATAAATAAAGTGATCTAACAAATGTAAGAAGACAGAGCTCCCACCCCAACGGACCAGATAATACACCTAGCCAGTAGGCACAGAAACAGCTGTCGCCCTAGCAGAAACGCTGTGCTAATTAAAGCCGCCCTATCTAACTGGCATGATGTGTTCTCATCACAGTCCCATGCATAGGAACCAAGACCGTCTACACTGGCTGCAGGACTCTTTAAAAGCCAGCAGAATCAAAAACCTTGTGGGGCCCATTCATCATACTTGAGTAATATGAAAATGATGAAGAAAACGGGGGTTTCACTTTTGTTTTTACAAATTAAGCTGGTTATTTCTCTCTCCTTTGAAAGTGAAAATGTCTCGCTTGGAATGGACTCAAATCAAGATTAATCACAAAAATGGCCCAAATCTGAGGAGGGTGACCTGGAGAGCCCTCTCATTACACCATACCTTACCGACCACCTCCCTGCACCCTCCAAAGGAAGCAAGCAAGCTTTCTGGTGTGGACACCAGGGGCCATCAGTCACAGAGCTGCCATAAGCCCAAGCGGGAGAAGCCGAGAGAGCAGGGAAGAACATGGGGAGCGGGAGCAGGGACAGGCAGTGGGAGGGCAGGAACAGAGACAGACCATCCCTAGGGGGGCCCAGCCCCCACCTCCCCACTGCTGAGCCCAAGGGATGGCAGCCAAGTCTGAAGCTTTGCTCACGGGATATTCGGGGACCAAGAGCCCAAGTAACCAACCACCTGCAGATCCAACTGCGGCCTCTACACGTTATCAACTCTGCTCAACTGAAATCGCAAGTCATGAATAAAGTGGCTTTACCTGTATCTTATGCCTCTTGAAACTTTCCAGTCACTTCTAGAAAGACGTCTTCAGAAATCTTTGCTGTGGAAATAATAGGAAATAAGGCTGTTTAAGCCCTTAAACTGTCCATCCACTTAAACTCAGAAACACTCCCGGAAAGGCACTGAAAACAAATTATTGGGAGTTTTCTAAAACTTCTAGACTTCCTTAAACCCAGGATCAGCTCGGCTTGTACGTGCTGGGGAAGACAGGAGGGAGGGGCTGTGCAACCACCCACCCACAAACAGAGGGGAAGTGCAGCCCAGCCCATCACCCGGTGCTGGAGATGAGCCCCAGGACCCGACCAGGTGCACTGTCTTGCAAAATAAGTCATTCCAGTTAGCAGAGTCCGTGAACCAAAAACCACCATCTAATTGTCTATTAGCTCTAGATATGTATCCTTTAAAATTTATCTTCATAGAGCAGACAAGGAAAAAGCAGAAACACATGTGGCAACATTACAAGAACCAAAGGGCTGTTCATCTTCCTTTATTTTTGGATAGTTGGTTTTCAGCCAAACAGAAGGATGTCCACCGTGGTGTGGCAAGATTTTCATAGCGTGGCTGTCACTCCTCTGCAGTGTGGGAGAGCAGCCTCAAGATAGGGACTGCAGGGTGCAGTAACAGCACCAACAATTACACCAAGAGAATCAGAATCACAAAACCAGAGCCATGTGCGGGACTACAGACATTCAGGAGCCGACCCTGATCCCTCCATGATTCTATTAATACAGGCGCCACGTAATTGTTAAACCTCGGAATCAGACTCTTGCAAATTCTGTGGTGCAGAGGGTTTCTTTTTCTGTTGTTTCCTTTTGCTTTCAGAGCTTATTAAGACCATGGCTTTTTTTTTTTTTTTTTTTTTTTTTGAAGCCAGCTGGGAAGGAGGCGGCTCTCCCTGGAAACCCAGGTTTAAAGCCCCCATCCCTCCCACCCAGGCCCCTCACCCGACAGCTTCCTCCTCTACAGATGCCCTGCACACGCTTCCCCAGGGAGCCGGACCTTAAACATGGCCATTCAGGCACACAACGTCCAGTCCCCTAACCCCTGGGGGCCGACACCTCCTCTGAACCCGGAGCAGGCACCTGGAGTTAGCAAAGGAGCCATCAGGACAGGGATCAGAAACAATAACAATTCATCAGGCCCCACCACAGCGGAGCTTCCAGAGACCGATCCTGGGGACTTCTCTCCAGCAGCAGATACCTCTTACAGCCAATTTTATAAGCAAAAGTATGTTCACATGAGCGGCTATGAGAATCCTGGAAAAGACCACATCCATCCAGGACCTGACACCGATATTTCCTGTTGAAACTCCCAGGGCAGGGCTGGGCACTTGGACACAGCTGCTGGACAAGCAAAGAAGGAACCCCACACTGCTGTGGGCACCTGCAAAGTGTCACATCACTTGTTCCCACGAGGCTTTCCTGTCACACTGGAGGGAGAGGGGACAGTGGCCACCTGGGGACTGTGCCAGAAACAGTTCAAGGCAAAAAAGGCAGGGATTCATACATAAATAAGAGGTTTAGGTAAATAATGTGAACATCAAGGATTTTAAAACTGAAAAACTTCTATTTTCTAGAAATGAAATAAGTCTTTTTCACTTGAATAAAAAAGACCCAGAACTGCTCCTCCTGTGGTTTACGACACGTATCACATTCATGGTAATTTTACAGCATCCAATAGCAAATGTCAGCAGGTCTGGGGTCTAATCTCAACAGCCTCCAACCACTCCACCTGAACACTGGCATCCCCGTGCCCTGCCTCCCAGCTGGGGTTCATAGCTAGCCTCCAAAAACAGCTGCCAACCCCGAGATTCCTAAATGGGAACACACTTCCTTAGTGAACTGCCCATTCCCCGGCCCCACGTTGCCCTCACTCTACACGAACTCAGTTTGCTTCTTCCTCAGCATGAAACCCCACAGTTATTAGTTACCCTGCTGAAGAATGCAAACCCACACTTCTCATGTAATTACTCACATCCTGCTGTTTCAACTCGCACCTCCCAACTCCTGACAGCACAGGTAAAAAGAAGCCAATGGCCCATTCACCAAAAAGCAATGAAATTAATCAGAAGAGAGAAAAGCATTTCCCTCTTATGGTCTTCACACCCTCTCCCAGTGCACCCCCAATAGTGAAGGAGAGTGTGGGGCTCAGAAACCCAGGTATTTAGTGGCCGCTGATGGCAGCAGCAGGGAGCCACAGGCAGCGCCTTCATCTGGCCTCCATCCTGCAGACATGACCTCGCCTCTGGGCGTCCGCCCTAAGCAGGGACCAGGTGTTCTTCAGCACACAGAGAAGACACAGGTGGATTGAAGCAAGAGCAAGGGGCTCTGCAATCAGAGGAAGCTGGGTTCCAGTCCTACCTTCTCCAAGCTGTATGTTCCTGGGGGAAGTGACTGAGCCTCTGTTTCCTCATAAAAAAATGGGCATACTACTAGTGCCTGTCTCATTTGGGTGTTATAAGTATCCATGACTAATCATAGTTAATGCTTCCTGTGCTTTCCTAGGTGTCTGATGCTGTTTAAGCACTAGGAAGCATTAACTGTCATTCTTACCACCTGTGAAATGAAGCCAGTTATTCATGCCTAGCAAAGAAGACTGGCAGAGATACGGCAACCCTGCAGGGTACAGCTGTTCGCACATCTAACGCCCCCTACTGCCAGGAACTGGGGGCTCCACCAGCCTCCTCCCGCACACACAAGGGATCAGGGCTTGCTCAGGTTCAAAGATGCCCCCATAGACTCCTGGGAGCAGAGCTTAGGAACACTGACAGGCAGCGTTGCTGTGGCTGTGGACAGGGAGCGGGGCGTGAGCCTCTTCTGCTCAATCTCTTCATCCTGGCCCAGAAGCAGGTAAGGAAGTTCCGGGGGCAGAGAGCAATGGGGGACCCTCCACTGAAATTGTGAATCCAGCACACACCCCGATTGAGTGGGCATGCATATTACAACACGATGCCACTACACTCTGCTGAGCAGGGCAGCTGATTAAGGCTGGCTACAAAGTGCACAGGGAGGGCCTGGAGGACACGTTCCCATGCCCTGTGGGCCAACATCTCCCAAGAAGTATTTCCAGAACCTCTGACCCAGCAGTTCTCTACCAAGCATGCGGTGTGGATATACCCCACGTGTGTGAGATCACTGGTACAAGGCTATTCAACAGGTAAGTTCCAAAGACACCCAGCAGTCCATCAGTGTGTATGTGTCTGTGTACATGGGTACATACAGATCTAGCACAGAATTTTTGTATACAAATTATGGTACATTCCAGAGGATGGAACATTATGCAACTGTTAAAAAGATTAACGCTGCAATTGTATGAAAGAGCACTCCAGATCCATTGATCGGTAAAACTAGGGTTCCCAAAAATGTGTGTAAGTATGTTTCCATCGGTGCAGGCACATGGTGTGTGGCCATGTGTGCATGTGTGAATGGGTGTGCACACAGGTTCATCAGAAGGATGTTTCAAGAGATCACAATTTAATCAAAAACCTGCTGGCAAGGGATGCCCATGAAGAGAATCTGATCTGTGAAAGAAGTATGCTTTATTTCTCACGATTTGGATTCTTTAGAACTATTCAAATTCCTTCCTTAAGCGTGTGGTCTTCTAACTAAAATACTTTAAGTCTGATATCAAAAGTAAAATACAGTAACCATAGAAAATTTGAAAAATTCAAGAAAGGCAAGAGAACACATTCCTAACTATCTCTAAAAAGGTTATACAGGTTGTAACACTGATTAAAATAAGACCCTAGCACGGTGTCTTCTGTACTAACTTTAAGAGGAAGATTTCACCAGAATGGAAATTTTCAAGAACATCAGACAGACATGACATACGTTTCTGGTCTGACTGGCCTTTTGGTGGAATTCCTCATTCTAAGAAACTCTGACTCATTTATTCAACACTCACTTCTGGAGGGCGTGGGGTGAAGGTGTGAGTCAGATGAAGACTGTTGACTTCCAGTCCCTGGTCTTTGGCTTGGGGAGGGCAGACTACAGCAATCGCACAGGAGGGCAGGTGTTGCGGGGGCCTGCTGGCTCTGCATCATAGAAGGTGGGACCTGAAGTCCAAGAGGGAGACTGGAGCCTGCGGGCTGCTGGAGTGGGAGAGCCCATGCATGTGGCATCTTGGTCCTGGGTGTTTCTGCCCCACCACACCTGCGTACCCCCGCACTGTTTCTTATACGGTGCCCTCAGCAGCCTGTCACAGCTGTGTAATATTACATAATCAAATATGATCATGTGGGACATTCAGATCCTTTCCAACTGTAATTCCACTTACAATTCATTTTTCTTTAACCACCAGCATTACCTGGACAAGAACCTTTTCTGTCTGGAACGTTCACAGTGATGTTACAGAAGTCTGGGCACCACACAGAGGGTACTGGGAGATGGTCTCGGGGGAGATCCTGTGGCTCCATCATGTCTGTCTGCTGTTGATGAAAATTTCCATCTTGAGGAAACCTCTTAGTAACGTTAGTACAGAAGACACAAGTGCTGGGATCATACTTTAATAGTCGTTATAACGTGTATAACCTTTTTAGAGACTTCCAGCAATGTGTTATTCTCTTGCCTTTCTTGAACAGAGGCTCAGGGCTTCTACCGATCACGCTGACAGGTTTGCTTCCTGTGTACCAGGAAGGGAAAGAATCATGCATAATTTGCATGATTTATTTTCATTTGACTCTCTTCTAAAATTTCCAGTTGAGCTGAAGTCATTTTTGCACATTAATACAATCTTTGCTATAAAACACAAGTCACCTAGCTCAAACATTTTTTTTGCTTCTTTCAAGCCTATTAGAAACCTTAATTGCTTATTAATTTCTCCCCCAACTGTGGAGGAAGTATATTGTGGTGGCTGCAGTGCCAGCTGTGAGGCCAACCTGCCTGGTTTAGATTCCCATGTTGCCACATCCCACCTGTGTGACCTAGAATAGGCCTCTGCCCCTTCCTATTCCTAGCTACTGCCTCAGCACCTCCCCTCCCTCAGCTACTCCCTCAGCACCTCCCCTCCCTCAGCACCTCCCCTTCCTCCACTACTCTCTCA